TTCAGCCCCACTAATTCCCATTAGCTGTCCAGGCCCCTGGAAGTGTTTAATTTGCAATTTCTACCCTATAAGGCAATGAGAAAGTTCAATGACGGTGGCACCACTGGGTTATTAAGTATAGGGATGATGATAAAAATATTGAACTAATAGGAACCAAGAACCAACCAATCAGGTCAGATGCTGGACCAGGGCCTTAGAAGCCCCCTACAGTGGCAGACCCAAAGCCTTTAGTTGCTGACGTGGGTATGCATATACCCCTGCCAGAGAGGGGTCCACATTGGGTGGGTGTGCGTTCAGCCAGGGCTGTTTACCAACTTGCACAGAAACTAAAGCATTTTAACCTCTGGTACAGCTGTGAAGTGCATACTAGTAGAACAGGAGCCTTGGTTAAGGGGGTAGGGGAGCAGCAGAGTGGAGTCCTGAAGTGACATCAGGGCTAGCCCCTTGTCTATGTCATAGTACTCACCGGGTCACAGTGGACCAGGATGCCTGAACCTCTGCCACCGATCTCTGAAACTCACTTTGCCGCAGGGAGGCACTGAACTAAGAAACTGCCTTGTTACAGGTCACGCCCCTCTGTCTACTCCCTTTCTTATATCAAGAGGGGAAAAACACGGAACTACCTCTACCCGATCTGGTCACCATACGCCTATTACCTTTACTGTTACAAATACCAGATCACCCTCCGGGAAAAGATGCTGCCTTGTTATAAAAGGTAATTGTTTTCATCTCTATTTGTAGTTGTTTACATAAATTGTAAAGAAAAATAAAAGTATTTGAAAGGCCCTCCCAAGGAGTAAAATAGCAAAATAGGATGGAAGGCTGACATGGAACTGTGAACTTTTTCTATCTGGCTAGGCTGGGAAAATGGAAACAGACTGGTTCATGTAAGATACAGAAGGTAGTGCCAGAGCCTGACTGTGTGTACCTGGACGTTATGAATCTCTCCCCATTTCAGACTCAGAGATAAACTAATTTGGGCCTCTTTTTCCCAACCAGCATCACTTATAAGGAACAGGAGGACCTAACACTCCGGCCCCGTTGCTGCCTTCAGTGCTCCTGAGTCCCTAGTAGGCCCTCAGGTGGGCAGAAGCACCGAGCAGGCAGATCACGACCAGCTTAAAGAACTCTATTCGGTAAGTGGACTGTGAGCTGGTGCTGTGACCTGGCAGCCCCTTGCTTGCTGTGATGTCACCTTACACAGGGACAGTAGCTAGTTGGAAAATGAGTCACAGAAAGTTAGAGCTAGGCAAGACCTTGGAGCTCATGTGTAGAAGCGACTTTATAGACGATTCTGGTCCAAAGATCTTAAGGCAAGGTCCTAGGGCTGGTGGTGAAAAGCAGAATGGGAAAAAAGGAAGTGGGTACAAAGATGGGCTGTATTAAGACTTCAGGGACATAAAGCTGTTTAGATGCTGATTTCTAGGACTAGAACCCAAAACTCCTGCACTTGCCTTTGTATCATATCCCAGTAACACGCCTGAGTATGAGCTCTGCATTTTAAGAAATGGGAGAATTTAGAGAAAACTCATGATGGGAAAAAGAAGAGTATTATCGATGAGACAGTAAATAGATTGCACAGCTTTGTTTAAAGTATAACCTCTCTGATGTAAATATAAGTTTCTGAACAGTTAGTGCACCCCTGAGTGAGGCCAGCCAGTGGCAATACTGCATTGACTGCAGGTTCCATATTGTCTGATATCAAGGGAGAACTCCAATGATAAGGACAGAATTAGGTCCTAGGACTAAGGGACACTGAGTAAGGCCTTGGCTCTAATTCTCCCAGTCTCCCTATCAGCCCCCTCCTTGCTTCCACAGACATACTCAAATTGGCCCGAGATCTGATTTGAAGGTTGGGCGAGCACAGAAACAGACTGTTACTCTCAATTTTACTCCTTTTCTAGGCTGGGAACCTGACGGTGCTGACTACTGACCCCCTGCTTCACCAGGACCCAGTGCAACTAGACTTCCACTTCCGCCTCACCCCCCAGACCTCTGCCCACTGGCACGGCCTTCTTTGTGACCACAGGCTCTTCCTGGATATCCCATACCAGGCCTTGGATCAAGGCAACCGGGAAAGGTGACTAAGCCTGGATGGGGGACAGGGGAAGGAAGAGGTAGGGGATTTCACCCTTATCATGTCATAATCAGGTAGTGAGTATGCTAACCAGTGAGGACTTATTCAGGAGCTGGACACATTCAAACCACTGAACTGGCATGCAGACTAGCGTGTGAGCTGAGCCTGGGGTTCACAGGACAAAAGCCCAGGGAGGGCTGCCCAACTGATTCAGAAACACAAGTGCTGATCCATAAATTGTTGAAAGGAAGTACCCTTCCGCTGTTTTGTCTTTACAGAGTGGCCCCTTCTCCCTGGGCCCCTTCCGTGGCATAGGTGTCAGACCAGTAGTATATAGTCCTTTGGCTTCAGAGAAAAATCTATCAACCTAGTTTAGCAACTTTCATTGCCTTACTTGGATCAGGAAAAACTGAGCAATAAGATTTCTTCTGCTCCAGTAGGCATCTGCTGGATTTTGAGCTTACTAAACATTGTATTAACCGTGATTTTCCGCTCTGGTCCCTAGTTTGACTGCAACACTGGAGTACGTGGAGGAGAAGACCAATGTGGACTCCGTGTTTGTAAGCTTCCAAAACAACCGGAATGACACAGGTGGGGATCTGCTCTGTCCTTCTAGGCCCTGTTCCTGAAGCAGCTGACAGCGACTTTTCCTTTGGAGACCTTCCCCTCACTCTTTAAAAAAGGGCATGCTCATGCATTCCAGGGATTCACCACCACCCCCAACTCCCTGCCAAGGAACCAAAGCACCTAGCAATCTGTTCATTCAAGTTATAACTGGACAATCAGGAAGGCCCTGCAGGTAGATTTCAGAAGCTAGACTGAAGGAGCACTGGTGAATTACATAGAAGCCATTCAAGGGATGTGGCTGGTAGGATAGAAAGGATCTCAAATGCATTAAGCACCTACAGTGTGAAAGGGTCTGGCATAAGACCAGGATAGGAATATATTTAACCAGATGTGAGATGCACATTACAGAAACTATACCTCTTCCCTCAGGGAGTTGACTATACCATCATTGTGTTAAGCACTTCATAAACCTTTCATTTGATTTAAATTCTTTGAGGAAGGTTCTGTGATCCTCACTTTATAAACGAGAAAATCAAAGTTCAGAAGGGTTAATTTGTAGAACATTACAAAGCTTAGTGCTGAAGCCAGGGCTAAAGCCTAGGTCTGTTTGACTCCAGAGCACATCATCCTAATGCCTGTGCGACACCGCTTCCCCCAGTCATTCCCTAGTGGAAGAAGCCAAGTCTAGGTGGGTTGCTGTATTGAGCTTCAGGATAATCTAACCTGTTCTCTCCTCTCACAGGTGCCCTGCTACGGGCCTTCAGCTACTTGGGCTTTGAGATAGTCAGACCAGATCACCCAGCCCTTCCTCCCTGGGACAATGTCATCTTTATGGTGTATCCCCTGGAAAGGGACCTTGGCCACGTGCCCAGTGCGCCTCCCTGAACATGCTTATCCTGCTCTGGTAGGGGCTGGGGGCCTGATAAATGAGAACCAGAGGCCCAGGGTGTGATTCAGGACACCTTCCATCTTAGGAATAAAGGGTAGTGCAATCCTCAAGTGTTTGCTGTTTCTTATGGTGGTGGTGGGGAATGGTGGGGTTGGCTGGAGTGAAAATGAGCCTTAGAGCTGAACTCACTGTAGGACAAACATTTAATGACTGAAAAGATCAGAGGGACCTGAGCCAGAGAGGAAAAGGACTCAAGGATTTTAAGCTTTTGCCTTCCCCTGCCCCACAGCCATTTCTCCACTTATTCTAACCATCTACTGAGCACCTGCCAGGAGCCAAGAACCAAGCGCTAGGGAGTTCAGAAAGATTTAGGCCTTGTTGGGCAATTTTCATCCATATATTTTGGCTCAAATTGAAGGCAGATGCTAATTCCTTCTCTTTGATGTGGAGGAAATCAGAAGTACATGGATCCTGTAGTTTTGCCTCAAGGGGAGGATTTCAACAGACGAAATAGGAAGCATGGAAGAGAGCAATCCAGGAAGCAGGAAAAGTGCAGCACTGTACTGTTAGAATAAAGACCCCATCAGAATGGGATGTAAACTGACAAGGCTCAAAGGCCGCATTAAAGGAACAGGCTTTCATGCAGAGTAACAGGCTGCAGCTGGGAAGGAGACACTACTGATTTTCCAGAGCAAGAAGTCCTGTGAACGCTTTGCAGCAAACGAGTTCCCTTCCTAGGAGTAACGGCTGAGGAAAGGGGGGCCCAGCTGGCCACACAAGCCTGCGGTAGAGCAGTTCCAGCCGCAGGGCTGCGCCTGCTGCAGAGACTGCAGCACAGCCAAGTCTGAAACGTCACGTCAGTGGCAGCCCTTCTTTGATTCCTCCAGGAGCAGCCAAGCTGCTCATCAAAAATGCACCTTCACGGAAACCTTTCTGCTCGTTGGTACTGAGATTTTCTGGATAATAAATCTTGAAAATTGTTGTCTATGGGAAAATAGTTGCCATGTAGTATGTGGGTAGACACTGCTAATTCCTCGATTTAAAAAAATCCTCCATATGGCATCCTTACATACTGGTTTTAAGTTTTCCACTTTACCTTTCTCATCTTAAAAAAATATTCATCTACCATTCTACCACGTTACATTAATATTTACTTTCAAGTAACCTTCACAATTCTCACTGGATCCTCACGATACTGTCAGAAATATAAGGAAACAGGCTCCATAAATTCACAGCAAAGATCTATTCCTAGAACCCAGGTTTCTAGAATCCTAATCCATCTCTTTAAGGTGGGGTTTTACACAGCCTAACCTAAACTGGTTCTGAAGTTACTTTATGATGGGTGCGCAAGCAGGACACCTGTTTCCCAGACGGGCCCCTCTGTGTGAGGTGTCTAGCAATTTTCAGCAGATTTCAGTTAAGATACCCATAGGCTTGCTTCCACCTTGTGATTCAACCAGCACTTAGTTTTGGGCAATTTTCTTGAGAACTTTATTCAGCAAAAAATCTCTCAAATGATTTAAACAGCTACATATGTTCTCTCTCTCTGTGGCTCTGTGTGTACATATATATGTATTATAGACACTATACTAGAAACTTAGAATAGTTGCCTCTCTCCTTGTCTACTTGTACTTTAACTGAAGTTTACAGGGAAATAGCTGGAGCACTATTTCAAAAAACTTGACTCCAATAACATTAACAGTTTAGGGTGGGAGGCAGTATTCTCTTCCCACTTCCTGAAGCTTTTTAATGTAACTATACTGATTTTTGCTTTTGCCTCCTGACTCAACTGCCATCTTTGAGTTCACCAAATACCCCTTAACCAGAGTCAGAAGTCTGCAGAATCATCTCTTCCAATGACCAAACGCTGGCTGTTTCTCAGCCTCTAAAAGAACACAGCCTAGCCACAGTGTGCACTATGACTGGCAGGGGGGAACGAGCGGGATACTGAGCAGCCTGGAAGGAGTGCAGCAGTATTCAGACACTGCAAGGGGGTGAGGAGGTGGTGGGAAGGGGCATGTGTTTGTCTCCCTCCACCCCACATGCTTTCTGGTAGTCCAGTGGAAGGAGAAAATGCATTTGGTCCACAGCAAGCCAGATCATGTATACAATAAAGGAAGGACTGCATAGATCTCTTTATCATAGGCTCTTCTCTCCAGGCACCAAATCTTATGCCAAATCCTGCCAAAAACACAAAGACACAAAAAACTTGAAAGGGCTCAATCTGAAAGTAAAGCTGCAGGAAAGCAGCTGCAGAGAAGCAGTAGTAAGACAGACTACGGGGGAAGAGACTAAAACAAGGCCCCCGCCGGCACCCTCCTCCCTACTTTCCTGTTGCTACAGACAGATGACAGCTCTACTCACAGCAAAGCAGATGGTGGGGGGAGCTGAAGCTGGCTTCAAAGCAAGTAGTCATCTTCAAGGTTATCATCACCAGAAATAGAGGCAGCCTCTATTCAGCAGAAATGAGAGACAGTTAGAGACTGCTCTAATTTAGCAGGCACTGCCACTGAAGCTCAGGGGAAAGAATGGGCTTCTTGGTATTTAATGACCACCTTGCTTAAGAGGTAAGCCCTAATAACCTCCCTAGTTTGGAGAGACATTAAGAAATGGTAGCAAAAAAAAAAAAAAAGAAAGAAAAGAAAGAAAAAGAAAAGAAAAGGAAAAGAGAAGAGAAAAGAAGAGGAAAAAGAAAAAGAAAGAAATGCTAACTTCCAAAGCTGCCCTAGGGAGTGAACGCCGTCTGTACCTGATAAGCTGAGGCAGGACGGGGTGTTTGGTATCTCTCCAGGGCTCTTCTTGGTCTCAGGGAGCATGCTGCTGAGAGAAACATCTGTTTCTGTGGCCTGAAGGGAGAAAATAAGAGAAAAAGAATGTGTTTGGCTGGTGGGAAAGGAAAGGCCACCCCATCATTTTGCTCACAGAATCTGGGTCAGTCAGATTTTTGGCTGCTGAGTTTGGCTGCTGAGAGGGACACAATGCCTCCTTTGATCAACTAGTGGAGCAACTCAGTCCTTAAGAGTGCTCCCTACAAACTGCCTACAAACCGCATGCATGATGAGACGCCCGCATGTCTCAAGGCACCATCTTTGCTCCAGAGCAGCCCCCTGAAGGACTACAATGGCTCCCTTACCACATCATGCAACATTCCTGGGACAGTTCTGTTTTCTTCTACGTCTTCAGGAAGCTCAACTGCGTATCCTTTACGAACTAATTCTAACCCAATATCAAGTTTCTGAAAAGAAAAATGAAAAGGGAATGATGTCTCTGAAGGAAGGGCAAGTCAGAGGAAATCAGGCAGAAGCGCTAGGATTGATGCTTTAAAGAGTTCCCTTGATGGTTCAGTAAGCAGGATCTTATGAGGTAGAAATATTACCAGATAAGGGTTCCTGGGAAAGAAAGTAGAGACAATTAATATTACTGAAGAGACAGTGAGCCATGAGTGAACCCCAATCTTACCTTCCCATTGCTAGTATCATATAAGTAGATCTTGGGCCAAGTTGAGATCCCAGACTGGACATAACTAGAGATCTTGGCCACCAGGGGTTTCCAGTCAGCACAGTGAGTGAGTCTGTCAAACTCATCCAAAGCTGCTTCTTCCCATTGTTCACCTGACAAAAGATCAGAGAGTGCACTGCACCTAGGAAGGCTCAGAGCTGACGGGGGTGGGATGACGGGAACTGGAGGGAAACGGGAACTACCACCATCTATTCCAAAAGCCACCTATGTCTGCCTGCCCGGCAAGTTTCTGGCTGTTGCTTTCTAGCACTGGTAAGGAAAAGGCACCTGAACCCCCAGAACTCAAAAAGCCTGGGAATGTGAGTATCCCCACCATGTGCTCTGTGAAGTTATTCTATCTGGAGCGAGGTCAATAGGTGGTGCGACCAATGTACCTGAGGGGGCGATCCGTGCCAAACTACACTCTATTGCTTGAAATGGAAGGCTTAGGAAGTCACTCCTAAAGTGAAAGAAATTGAAGTTAGAATCCTAGTGCCAGAAGGGCCTTCTTATGTTCATTGCTTCTAGACAGCACCAATTAACTGAGCAGGAAAAGATAATCATCTGATCTCTGTAAAGAGGTTCTCTTCCAAATCCACCCTGGTGATGAGTGCCAATAGCTCACCATCCTATGGCCAGGACTGAGTCACCGGTTGGGACTCCAGTGTGACTCCACCCTGGTCCCCACACCGACCTGAGCACTCTGAGGTCCCTCAGTGGGCAATCTCCATTATCTCCAAAGTCAACGAAGTAGAGGTCCAGGTTTCCATTCTCTAAGGTCCCAAGGACCCGGGCTCGATACCAGGAACCATTTGTAGGTAAAGGTGCTGCAACAATGTCTCCTACATGCACAGTCAAGTCTTCAGGCTACACAAAGGGATGAGGAGTTAGGAGGGGGCAGTTAGGAAGGGGCAGGCTGAAAACTGAACAGTGAATACATCAGAAGGAAGAAAGAACCAGCAGCTGCTCCACAGGAAAGGGAAGACAGTCTGTCACAATGAAAAAGATATGCTCCTTTCATCAAACTCCTGCCCTGTCCCTATGAAAACTCACCAGACTGTTTTCATAGTGTTGCGTCATCTCACTGACAAGCTTATCCAATTGCAGGCTGCGGGAGCCAATGATCTGGATCCAGAAGTGGTTAGGATGTTCAGAGGCAGAGACATAGACTTCGAGGAATTCATCAGCATGGAAACTGAAGTCTGGACTGGGGACTAAACACAGGGATAAGCAAGTCAAGCTGCAGAAACATTACCATCCACTGTGGTGACTTACCAGAATCATCTGGGTTGAAATGGGGAGACTGGATCAGTGGGGGGTGAGAGGTACAAATACCAAGTGGCTATTACCATTTAAAAATGGCTAGGGGGACAAATGGATGAATTATACAAAACATCCTGAAGAAAGGCACTAAGTTATGTTCTGTTCCTTTCTATGTAACTGAGTAATGAGAGTTTATTCACATTTTTGGCCATCTTCCATGTATTCAAATCAGTCACCAATTACAATGAAGGGAAATCCCCATATACTAGCTGCAGTACGGACCAGGGAAAGACACATGGACAGACATGCACCTGTTCCAGATCCCATTCTACCACTGAGTCATTATGTGACCCTGGACAAGTCTATGAACCTCTTAGGGGCCCTGGTCCTCCCTGCCCATCCCAGTACCTATGCATAGAAGAAAAAGTCCATGGCCTTTTCATTCTTCTTGAATGGTGAAAAGTTTTAAAAACAGTAATAAGGCAGGAAAAAAAATAGGACTCAGTATATTTTACTTGTTTAAATAAGTATGTTTGGAGAAAGAATATCATGTAAATTCAATTACCTGACGTACTACACAGAGACTGGTTTCCTGTGAGCTAGCATGTTTCTATATTGTTATCTATAATTAGCTGGTTTGTATTCAGAAAAATATTTGTGTTTACGACTAACCCAAGTAAAACATTACCAGAGTCATACCTGTGATTAAAGACTTGTAAGTACAGTCAAGAAAATAGAAACTATTTTTTTACTGTTTCTTATTTTGAGTTATCTAAGCCAGTATTTCTGTCTTCTTTTCTTTGGCTAATGGGTTCCCTCTTTGTTACATACTTTCAAACATGGACATCTCTGGACTGGTCTGGGCTCCAGACTTCTGAAAGCTGTCATCACTAGGTTTCTCCCAGGAGCCTTCTTCTGGCCCTACAACAGCCATGTCACCACCTCCTCTGTGGGGAGGAACTGCCAGCGGTGCGGCCTGCTCCAAGCGACTACCAGTGTTCTTCCATAATGCCGGCTCCCCAGCTCCACCTGACTCTGTCACTTCCTCTCTTCTTATGCTGATTGGCTGCTTGCGTGGGACTCTGGTTTCTGCAGAATGAGCAATTCTCTTCCTGAGTTCTTCATCTTCTGAAACTTTCTCCAGTATCAAATGCTGTGGAAAATAAGAAGGGATGATATTTATGTGGCCAGATACTGACCAAGGATGGAGCAAAGAAAGGGTTCTCATTCTTATAGTTCAAAACTATCAGCTACTTACCTTGGCTGCCGCCACTTCCTTCTGTGTTCCTGAGATTTTTATAAGTCTTGACAGCAGCAATGTCCCCTCCGGTTCTTTGTCACAGGTAATTTTGGCTCCTGAGGCCTTACAGATAGAACGAATTGTCTCTCCGCCCCTTCCTGCATTGAATAATACATAAAAACCTATCCTTCCCTCTGGTTAACCTTAACTACTAGAGATATCACTATTTTGTATATACTAGAAGAGGAGAGCCAGTTCTCATTTTCAAGCTAAACGGAATGTAAGATATTGAATGGAAAGCAAGAGCTACTGAAATCCTTATAGTATAATCATTATAGTAAATCCTTACTATAATGGATTATTTGCTCTATCCATTTAAATTCTACACATTAGCTAGGTTAACATGGTCACGTTGCTTCCATTTTTTGACCACTCAGCATACTTTACATCCCCACTTCATTAGAAGATAATCCTACATGGTATGTGAAACATTTGACTAAGGACAGGACATTTCTCTGCCTTTAACAGCAGCATAAGGAATGCTCTAGAGGAGAACATAACAGGTGCTCTCTAGAGCACTGTCTTGAAAGATCTGGGATAAAATGAGCATCCTTAGCTTCCCTCTTTGCTCTGGTCTCAATGTCCCTGTTTTTCTCAACAAGGTGAAGGCAAAGTAGGCCAGGAAAAACCCTTGGGAAGGTGTGAAAGAAAGGAAAAGGTAAACAAAAAAGAAAACAGCAGAGTAAGCTGTCCAGTGGTACCTATGATTCTGCCCACAGATCTCTGGGGAACTGAGAGCTGCTCAGACACTGGGGTATTCTCTGTCAGGATCTGATGAATTGCTGCTTTGGCCTTGCACACCTGAACAGGAAAACCACTGATAAGCAGCACCCGCTCATCTCCTACATCCTCCGTGTCCACATCGATCCGAGCACCTGTCTGTTTTCGCAGCTGCAGAGAAAAGGATACAGGGCAGTAAGCTCTGGAAGAGCTCCCATCTGGGTCAGCTAAGGATACCCTAAACCTAACCCTGGAGGTAGATGGAACTGGACACAGTCAAGCAGGGTGCTATAAATAGTCCTCAGTGTACTTCCATGTACTTATGGAAGGAGGCTAGAGACAAAGGTAACTCCAAATAGCAATTAATTAAAAAGTTTGTCTAGAACGCTCTTTCCCCCTAATCTGATTTGGATTAGAGAATCAATTATTTTATTTTCTTGACATTCCAACCAAACAACAGAAGATGGTAAAAAGAAATCAGGCAGCAATTAAATATTTACTATCAGTTAATGAGAGTTCATAATTCCATAGCAGAAAAGGAGGATTCAAGCTATATCAAGCTGAGAACCATCCAATTAAAAAAAAAATCGCCATTTCAAGCTAAGGCATCCATTCCCTAGGGAGTAGAAGTATTCAGCTCTAGAGGGAGAATAACACAGCTAGCTAAAAAGTTCCTGTAGTTTTCTGTTTAAAATACACATAGTGTGAGTGGATTTTATGGAATGGGGGCAGAGGAGGGAAAGTAGAATTAGCCCCTGGGAGAGCCACTGCCTTCTCACATACTTACCTGTTTAATATTGGCTCCTTGCCGACCAATGATGAGCTTCACAGCCTCCTGGGGGACCCGCATCTCTATCTCGATGTCGTCCTCCCCAACAAATGTCAGCCGCTCTTCTGCATGGATCATGGCTCATCAGATCAGGTGTAGATAATACCCAAAGCTACCACCAGCCCTTCCCTGAATCTAGCTCTCAAAGAGACAGGGATGCAAGAGAAACTGAGGGTCTCAACCATAAAAGAGAAGGAAAAGTAGCATTTGAGTGGGAATTAGAAGGTCCTGGAAGACCAGGAGATGTGCATTCTCTCTGGCATACTCTTTTCAAATGCTAAAATGGGAGAAAAAACATATGGCTCTGCAAGGAAGGGGTGCTGGATTCTGGGCAAACTATTTTTCCCAAGGCATGACTCCTGGGGAAGAATGAAGGCTAGAAGTTGCCTGAGGAGTGCACTAGTCTCAGAACGTCTCTTTTTGTATGTATATCATTTCTCTAGGACCTATTCTCTATGTCCAGCCTTTGGGGAAACTGGACCCCACAGGCAGCCTTCTAACAACTAAACAGAAAGAGCGTATTTTAAAAAGGGTACGAATATTTAAAGAATAGAGAGAAATAACCCACTGCAGTGTTGGCGTCTCTGAAAGGAACAGGTCAATCAAATTATAAAGTGAATTCTTTATTTTGGAGACTAGCTTCACATTAGCAACAAAGAAAAGAAGACACCAAATAGCTTCAGTCAAAGATCCCTCACAGAAAGCCAATGACCTCAACAAACGATACTCAGTCTAGAAGGGAAGTTTTCAATTTAACAAGGTCAGAACACAGCCTAAACATTTCCACATGCACAGCCACGGGATTCATATACCTCTGCTTTCCCTGTATCTGCGGTACAGGATATAGGCGATCGTTGCACTGGCTGGGATCCCGAGGCCCAGTGCTACTTTCTGAATAGTGGACAAACTTGTCCAAGAAGTCCGTTCAGTGGACATTTTCTGCTGTACTCTCACATCCTGAAACAAGCAAATGAAGGAAAAGGAGCTTTCACACAACTTCAGTGACTGGCAGAGAGAATGGGAACACATTACAATATTATTAAGGAGACCGCTACTGCCCGCTTTCCCACTTCAGGGGCTTGCCTAGTCTCAGTCTGCGACACGTGAGCTCTCAGGGTACTTCTGAAAAGTTAGCTAAGAGACAGACACACACATACAACTAGACAGAGTGATCCTTCTCCCTCCTCAATCCCCCCACAGACCTATACACTGAACACAGTTTTAGAAGACAAAGGAACAAAAATTTAGTAAATGATCCAAATATTAAATATTTAGGTTTCATGTCAAACTATTTAAAGTTCCTTACATGTACCCTTCTATGCCTCCAGGCCTGTCCAGAAGCGGTTGTACCTGCAGGGAACGGCCTCCCAGGCCTAGTTTTAGGCTTTGCCACTTCTACTTCTCTTTCTTGGAAGTACAGTCAGTGTACTGTCTGTTCTCCTTATTCCTACATACTGCTCAACTAACGCTGAAAGGGTGGGCTCTGTCCTGCTCCCTCACCGAAACTGCAGCTTCCCAGGTAATCAACCCAGACGGCATGTATAAGCCTTATCTAGTCTTACTTCTGTGCCCTCTTTTCCGTGGTTTCTCCCACTTACCTGGAGGGGCCTTCTGAGTTTTGAGCTTGTCTCCCAGTGGCCTCTGTCTATTGCTATTGTCACTCGGCTCTCTTTGGGCCATTTTATCCATACTTGCAGCTTCAAGTACTACCTAAAGGCTAATGACTCCAACGCTGTACCTGGATTGATTCAGAAGCTCATCAAATCTCTTTTAGACCACGGCAATGGCCTCTTGCCATTAGTCTCTGACACTGAATCTCTCTCTCTTTTTTCATTTTGTTTTTAATTGAGTTATAGTCAGTTTGACACTGTATCTTCGTTTTGCGGCCAAGAATATTTTAACATGTCTCTCACTGTATTTCCTTACTCCATAGACTTTCTCATCCTCCCAGTTATTTCATACCATCTCTGCTCAAACCTCTAGTGCTTCCTTCTCCATCCTCCCTCTCAACTGATGCCTTTGCTTCCTATTTCACTGAGAAAGTAAAGCATTCAGAAAAAAATGTTAATTTCCAAACTTACTCACCTACCTTCACCTGTGCCTGAATATTCTATCTTTCCTCCTGTGGCCACCTCTCAACTGTCTCTGCTCCCAGCACCGAAGTCTCTCACAAAAGTGTTGCTCTCCTTCCTTCCCCTGCATCATTAATGCTTTCCTCTCTACTGAATCTTTCCATCAGACAAACATGCTATTATTATTTCTCCTTTCTCAAAGTTCTTCAATTCCACTTATTCCTCCATATATTTCTTTCTTTCCTTCCTTTTAAAGAAAAACTCGAGTGTCAATACTCCTGTGCTCAATTTCTCTTCTTGAATCCACTCTTACAGCTCTTGTCAAGATCACCGGTGACTTCAGTTTGCTATATCCAATTGTCAATTCTCAGTCCTCACTTTACCCAACAGCTCCCTCCCCCCAGTATCTGGCATAGGCGGTGACTCCCTCTTTTCTTGATGCTTCCTTCGCTAGGCTTACACAACAGCACACTTGCCTGGCTTTCCTTTTCCTCTTCTGGCCGCTCCATCAGTCTCCTTTTTCTAACCTCTAAACACTGGAGGGCTCCAGGGCTCTGTCCTTTGTCCTCTTTCTTCCACCTCACTTCTTTGGTGATCTCATCAAGTCTCATTCAGTCTTGGCTTTAAATCCCATCTATATGCTGATAATTCCCAAATCCACAGATCCAGTTAGGACATTTCTCCTGAACTCCAGGTTGTATATCCAACTGCTTATAAGATGTCTCCATTTGAAGTTCAATAGACATCTCAAACTTAACAAGTACAACACCTAGCTTCAGATCTCATACCCTGCCTGTAGTCTTTGCCATCTCAGGAAATGGCAACTCCATTCTTTCAGTTCCTCGGCTAAAACTCTTACTCTTTGTCCGCTTACACAGCACATCCATCCTGTTAGCAAATCCTGTGTATTATCCAGAATCTGACCACTTTTTACCTCTTCACTGCTATGACCACCATCTGCTCTAAACCATCATTATCTCTTGCCTAAATTACTGCAACTGCTTAATTATGTCCCTGCTTTGCCATTGTCCATTCAGTTTATTCTCAACATAACAGCTGGAGTAAGTCAAATAATGTTATTCATCTGCTCAAAACCTTCCATGGCTTTCCATTTCGCTATGATTAAAAGACAAAATCATTATAATGACCTGCAAGGTCATTTTGATGGTCTCCTCATCAGAAGGTAAATTCCCCAAGGCAGAAATTTTGTTTTGTTTCTCAGTACTTAGCACAGAATGGCCACTCAAATATTTGGTCGATAACCATTTCCTGAATGAATGAATACACTTCCTCTTATTCTTCAGTAACTTCATTTGCCTACATGTAAACTGATTAGTGGCACAAAAGGTCCTTTAATAATCTAATTTCTGCTTATCATCTTCACAGCACACAATATTCTAATGCCACTTCTAACCAGGGGAACAGGATGTGCTCTCTTCTGTATCCTTGCTCTGACACATATCATTTCTGTCTTCCTAGTCTTCCTCCTTAGCCCACCTGGCATCTCTTGCAAAATCCTATTCCTTCTTCAAGTCTTAGCTCTACCACCCCCTCTTTTTCTAAGGCCTCTGGGATTTTCCCCAGCTAATTTAGGGTGAGTTTCTCCTTAGCTCATACTACTCTGTGAATGATACCTCCGTGAAAGCACTTGCTCACACTGTATACAATTGTTAATCTGTTAGGGATAGGGAGTCCTCTAGACTACTGGCTTCACCAGTGCAGTTCAGCCACACTTACTAGGTACTTCTATGTGCTAGATGCTACTGTGGCACTAAGGACACAAAGGTGAAAAGATAAATTTATTGAGTAGCCAGTCTGCCACCAGGCATTTTACATTATTTCATTCAATCTTCATACAATACTGTAAGCTAGGAAATATCAACCCTAGTTTTACAAAGGAGTACATGCTTAAAGACGTTACAAAGCATCTTATCCAGACTTTGGGTATTATTTGCATATTACAAACCTTTTAAAGGGACTTTAGGACACACACACACCCCCACCACCATTTTTATCTAAACTCTCATGGGAATACTACCTGGTGTCTTTATTCTTTATTTTGATCAACATGTTCAATTCAAAATTAGTAACAAACATACTGGTGGAAACAGTATAGGTGGCCAAAAAAACTAAAGACAATGTCTATTTCTCAATATTACAATCTAGTAGAATAAAATACAATGGGACTTTTAACAAGATTTGCTTTAAAATGAATGAGGAAATGTAATTTATGCTATAACTTGCCAAAATTCAATCCAAATGATTATGACAGCCAAGAAAAAAATGTTTGTCACCTCTAAAAAATCTCTTTGTATCCTAGTAAGGCTAAGAATATACTCATTAAAAAAGGACCTACTTAGTAATAAAACTTTGGTTCTAAAAAATTAAAATAAAGTAATAAAACTTTGGCTGTAAACATACCTTTCCTAAAAGTCTTTCAGGAAGAGTGATGAGGGAAAGGAGACCTAGCACAAAAATCTCATTTCAAGGAGTAGATAAAAATCACACAGAGACTGCAGGCAGATTTCTCACTACTGTCAGAGAACCAAGTTTTTACATTCCGCCTCAGAGAGCTTTAACCAGAAGAAATGAATAAAGTTCTTCAGAGAACTACCAGAAGTTTACCAAATCTATTTTTTCTAGCCAACAGTTTTAAACAAATTTAACCCACTCTCTTGCCCAGACTCTTGGCCTGAAGAGAAAAAAAATCTTTTATTACCTTGGTAAGGGACTCTTTTCAAGTGTCTTGTTATCCCAGGTAATTAGTTACTAAGTAGATCCAGTATACATATGGTCTCTAACTTAAGATGGTTTGGCTTAACGATTTTTGACTTTACAATGGTGTAAAAGTGAAACACGTTCAGTAGAAACCATACTTGAATACTGCTCTTTTTCCAGGCTAGCAACATGTGGTATGATACTCTCTCAGGATGGTAGACAGCGATAGCAAACTGTCAGCCACAGCATCACAAGGGTAAACAACCAATAATTTACTTACAACTATTCTGGTTTTCACTTTTAGTACTCAATAAATTACATGTGATGAAATAAAAACTCGTATCCTAAGTTCTAAGGCAAATCAAGGATAATTTACACTTAAAAAAACTTCTCTGCCTATTTGGCCTCCTCTCTTCCTCCTACTGTGCACTGCGTATCTGCACGATGCATCAACCAAACCTCCCAGTTGGCAGAAATTCCTGCTCAATCACAAAAAGCAACACTTGTGGAGAGCTAGACTCAGAAGCAGCACACATTTGATCCACCACATGGTACTCAGAAAGTTGTAGATTATATCTCACATCTGAATTAGGCTGCCAAATTGATAATGGGAAATTGTTCCTCAAAGGCCAAAGAGCTTCCATGCAGACAGCTACCTACAGAAATACCAATGAGATTTATGTATGCTTGCAATACTTCATTGGGAATTAGAGGAAATCCCACCCTGAAATGGCCAAGATTGGGTTCTCTTTTTGGCATTCCAAAATTGATTTTTTGTGTTCAGTTAAAGCCGGCAGTCTCCTGGATCTCTGCCTGCACAGTCTACTGGAAATAACTGTGGTAAGAGCTTCTGTTTTTCAAAAATTAGGTTAGCAGGGAGAAATATTTGTATAGGATTAGTTCCTTGAATCCTCTGAATTGGAAAAACTTTCCAATTGTTAAATCTTTAGAGAACTCTCATCTCAAACTACTGTACACATTTTAGTTGATACGCAGAAGTCCCAAAAGGGTCCAAAATTTCAAAGTAGCCTTATTCAAAGATTTGCTGTAGAAGGCTAATGAAAGATTAATGATATAAAAGGCACCTAAAACTTTACTGCTCCCCTCTGTCCTCCTTTGAGTACCCATTCTAGTAATCCTCTGTCTGAATTACCTTTCCACTCTGAAGACACTATGGTGCCTTCAGAAATGGGACTACCTGAGGCTGTAGACCATCATTAAATAATTTCTTAAACCCGAGGAGGATCCTCAAAAAATGTTTGTAAATTGACAACACTGTAAACTGACTATACTTCAATAAAAAAGAATGCAAAGTTTGTAAATGGAATATCAAGATGAGAGGCTATCAGTCTGAATAAACTGACCATAGCTAATATTCAGAGCCTGATAGGAATTTTTTTTGGGGGGAGGGCCCTTCTCCCCTAAGCTAGTTGAGAAAAAGTGATATTCCAACAGGTGAATGGGTATGTTAGTCTTTTTTTTTTTTTAATCATTGAGGTGGCTACCCAATTCTTTGAGGAATTAGTAACAACTGCCCTTGTTTAAAAATCTTAAAAGTGCCTTCTCCATAAATATTTATAAAAAGGGTTTAGCCATCTAAACAGGTTTCTTTGATTTGTTCCATATGCCAGAAACCCAATTTGAATCTAACCACTTATAACTGATTGGTTCAATATCACTGTACCTGATTCATGGCTGATATTTTGGAATGAAAACTATGAGGTGTCTGTTTGTATGTATCTATATATATGTGTGTTGTAAATGTGCGGTATTGCCAAACTTAACTTGTAAAAGAACTCTATTTAACTGGCTTAAAGGAAATTAAGCACTTACATACTCAGAAATACAAAAGAAACTGGCCAGAATGAATTTCTGGCTCCTGTGATCTTGTAAGCAAATAGGACAGGAGGTCCCCTGGAGAAAGAGAACCAGGCATGGCATTCTTGACAGAAGAGAAGCCATTCTGGCCAAGGCCATTTTGCGATCTAAGCCTGGCCACAATGCTAGTCTTTGAACAGGCCTCAGTAATGAATGATCTTCAGGGAACAAAAGAATACAGAAACAACTGTTATTAGGCAAGAGAAGTTAACAATAGCAAAAATAATAGGTCAATTGTAAAGACTTCCAGTTCTCCTTCAATGATAAAGATTAGCCTGAAGCACTCAACCACCAGATCAACTGGCACCTAAGGGAAGATGCTGACCTTTTCTGACCTTGTGACTTCAATCAACTAAAGCTTGAACTCTCAATCACCCAAGCCCATTCATGAATATACAGGTACTCTTAGCTTAAAACTTCCCCAATTTTGCTGTTGGGGAACCATTGCTTTGGGAAAGATTCCTGATGTTCTTCTTACTTTCTGCAAGTAATAAAATCCTCCTGATCCTTGGCTTGGCTGTGTCTTTTAGCTCAACATCCACTAAGAGATGAACCCAGTTTTTAGGCAACAATCTGGGAGATATTCAGTGTTGAAGTAATAGCTGGTATTAAAGTTAGCTTAAGCTTGTTTGTTTAATTGATAATACATGTCATTAGAGTCATCAAAATTAAATATAATACTTTTATTGTACCTAGATTTACTAGAAATCCAATAAGAAACAATTATATCTGCTACAAAGTTTGTCAGAAAGAAAAATAACTTGATATGATAAAACTTTTAAGTAAATAAAAGAGAGGTAAATGAGGTAAGAGCTTTTAAGTAAGTGCTTTAAGAATAATTGTTTTGGGAACGTCTAAAATAAAAGTGTCTCCGGACTTTGGTAACTTGAAACTTAAGAGTTTTGCTAAATTAAGTTAAATGATGGAAGTCTACTGAATATCTAGATCATTCTCAAATAAAGTGAGATACTGAAATATTAGTAACTGAATACAGACTTCCTTTTACAAAGAAACTAAAGATATTTGGAACTATTAATATGTTTAGTGCCACATTAGGACATTTTCTGTAAAAAAAAAAAGCATGTTGTTTTCTAGAAACCATAAATAGTGTTTATAAGCCTGCCAACCTACAGAATGCTAACGTAAAAGAGTTAATAATTGCCTACCTCTTAGTTTTCACTAAAAATTAAGGTTTTTAAGACCTGAGAATTCTAATATGTAATTTAAGCTCCAAGAATAATAAGGGAAACATTTCAGTATATAAGGAAAATTAGAGATGTGTTTTCAGGAAAAAAGACGGTATGAGAAAAGGAAATACATTTCTGTACTTCCTTTGTGATCTTTTACTGTCACCCAGGTGAAGTGACTAAATATTGCTCCACAGTGACCTATGATCAGATCCTAATCGACCAAGAATTAAACATTTATTTTGATATTTTTGACCATAGACTCGACTCCCCCTCACTCCCCCCAGAAACCTCGTGCAAAGTGAGGACCCTTGGAGACACTCAGAAATGTACACTAGTTTTCTTTGGATCTTGGGTGAAGAGTTTTGTTTTTTTAAGCATGTCACATTTGCTAATTAGTATTGTCAATGTTTTCCACAGTAAATATGTATTACTAATACAAAAAAAATTGTTTTTGGATATTATAAACTTTCCAAAGATCAAATTCTAAATGAAGTTCATTCGACCTCTAGGTAGCTTTGAGGCTTTCCAAAGGGTCCCTGGAAGACCTCAGAATGTTTTCCTCTCCATCTCAGAAGACAGAATAACCCTTTATACTAGGCTTCGTTGCTATTGGTTCCACGGTACTCCAAACATCCCTTCACACACATGCTTTGCTTGTAATTCTTGATTAAGGACTATGTCTGTAGAGAGAATGAATTGAAGGCAGCAACAGCGGGTGTAGGGAGACTAATTCAGAGGCTAGTCCAGGTATCAATGGAGATGGAGTGAAGTAGATGGTTTAGAGAGTTTGCACAGGTAGAATACACAAGACCCAGCAACTGATTCATGGAAAGGTTAGAGGGTGAGCCAAGGAGCTGGAGATGGTGGTGTCTGAGGTAGAATACTGAATATTGGTGGTGGAGGGGATGTGGGTGGCAGGAAGATGAAGGTCTGTGACATGGATAAATTTATTGGGTGACTTCTATTTGAACCAAAAACTAAATTTTACTAACTCCTCTTCAGATACTGTAAATCTGGTTTGTGCTAATTATCAGCTGATGTCTCAAATGAATATCTACTTGATTAATATTAATCAAGTATAGTTTTATATTTATAATTTACATACCCTTTCACACTGGTAAGTTTCTTTTAAGAACTATAAAGTGGGAAAAATATGAATGAAATGAGAATAACTGCATAGTACTAAATGCTAGCTTGTGTTTGACTTTATTTCTTCAAACTGAATGTAAAAAGGAGACTAGAACTTAAGACCATAGCTCCTAGGGGAAGCTAGGTAAAGAGGAGACATGTGGATCATTTTAAGGTTGAGAAATGTAGCTAGACAACAGTGTTCAGTAAAAGCTAACTTTGAAATTTCCTGACATTTGTATTAAGCAGTTGCTATCAACTATCTGATACGCGTAACTAAGGCTTACTTTTATATTATCATTTCAAAAACACAGTTAGGAGTCAAATCCACTTTGTGAGCTCCGTGGGGTCACGGATCCATCATTCCAGTACCTAACAACCAGAACCTACGAAGTATTTAAAACAGTGATAGGTTTGTTGAACTGACGTAGGTCATTCAATCTTCTCATCCTTGCTACATTTATTTTTAAACCAATGAATGAAAAAAAGCCTCCACCCATTTCTGTCAAGTTGAGGAAAGTCTTGAGCCAAAACCCACGAAGCTATTTGCATTAAGTAAACAGGGAAACTGGAAAAACAAACAAAAAGCCCCCCAATTTATTATTCTGACGACGTAAACAGTCATCCTACTAGAGGTAATTAAAGAAAAAGCTGCGGAAAATAAAAAGCTAACTGATGGCGGTTGTCAGTCTCAAAAAGGACTAGTCGAAGAGTCCAAACTGGCTTGTGGCAAACCCTCTCGCCCGAGTGCAAGGGTCCGTTGTGGCTTAACCCTGGGGCCGGCGCGTTTCCTCTGGATACGGTTACTAGCCCCGAGGAGGGGGAGAGCTGCCCCTACACAGCGCCTCCCCATCCGGGGACCAGACGCCAGCCCCCGGGCCCCACACCCTCGCCTCGCCTGGCGGCGCGTCCCTTCCCTCAGCCTCACAAGTTTGCCTCCTCGTTGCCAGAGGCGCCCTTGGCCCAGGCTCTCCACTCCCCAACCTCCGCTCGCGGTCCCCGCCCTTACCGCTTCTCGAGTCAGCCGTCGCGCGCCGCCTCGCACCTCACCCCAGCGGCCGTCGCCTCCTCTCGCTCTCACGGGTACTCTGATCCCCGCCGACCTGGCTTCAGACGCCACTTCCCCGCCCCCGCAGCCCTCCCGCACCAATCAACGCCCGGTCCGCAGCCCGACCAATCAGCCTTCCCATTTACAACCAATCCTCGTGCTGGCTGACCCTGAGCGACGGCGCTGCCGAGTGCTGATACCCAATTACCCGGATGGAATTGTAAGCCGGCCCACCAGGTCAGCCAATAGGCTCCAGGGAAAGCAGACGTAGTTAACTGAGTAGCACCCGCTGAGTATTAAACAGCCAATTAGAGGCTCACGGAGTCCTCCCAGTCCCCCTCTAGGCCAGTTACCGAGGAGGCGTCCGCTTCTCAAGCCTACGGGAAAATTAAAGCTCCCAAGGTGCGAAAGGATGGAATCACTCAGCCATATCACCGTGTGTACAAAATTAGTGCCTTTGTACTAAGCCAGTGCCACCCCACAACCCAGTGACGTTCGGGGAAACCGCCTCCTGATGGGTGATGCTCCGCCACTTGGTGTTTCTTCTGCTATCTTTTGCCTCGATTGGCCCCCACGCCGTGACAGGAACTTAAGAGACACGGAAACCTTTTTTTTTTTTTTTTTTTGGTGGGAGGTCATTAAATAGGCTTCGTAAAGATGAAGAGAAAGCCAAGAGGAAAGGACTGCGCGTCAGAGGGTGAGGGCCCACTCTATTCCTCTGCCGAGGGGTGAACAGACGATGAGGACCGACACGGCAGCAAGACGGATGGAGAGGGACCCGAGTTCGGAGCACCCGGTGGTAAGGGGGCTGCGGGTAGTGCTGGCGTTAGGGGCGCACCCTTCCTGGGGATTAAAGGGAGACGGGTCGGGGAGACAGGCGCGAAGGCGCAAGCCGCGGGTGGGGGCTGTTTCTGTGGGGGCGAGAAGGGAGGTGGGTTTCTGCGGGCAGCGGTTTGCTCTGGAACAGTGCATTCCAGCCGCCGTCTGGGTCCTTGGACCGTTGGGGACGGTTGGGCCCTGCTACTGACTGCGCGGCGAGGAGACTCGAGAGCCGGACCCTGGCCTTTCCCCGCCCCGCTCTAGGGGCTCGCCCGCTGCGCTCCTTGTACGGTGGGGCTCTTTCGCCCCAGCTTCTGTCACAATGCCCGGCGTATGATAAGCACTCCGTAAATGTTTGTTGGGCAAATCCAAGATTATATCTTGGGTCAGCTAAGGCGATGCCATTAGCCCTCAGGTTTTCCTTTTGTATTGGTTTATGTGTTTTGTTTTATTATTAATTTCTATAGTATATATTAGTAATCACATACTATTATTTTACTGTTAATGTTTTATAATATATGTTAATATTATCAATCGTTTTATATTATTATTATGTGTTTTGAATAAGTAATATATGCACATGCTACAAAGGAATAAAAGGTCTCTCTTCCCTCAGAGGCAACCGGTTTTACCAGATTCTTGTGGATTTTTCACAAAATATTCTATAGCAAACATGCATATATTAAATATATTTTTATATATGTTACCATGTTATACATACCATTTTGCAGTGTCCTTTCATATGGTCTAGATATCTTTCCATTAGCTGCACAGAGGAGTCTGCCTCATAGTTAAGTTTCACATTAAGCCTGAGGGGTGTATTAAGATATAGTCAACCAGTCCTTTAACATGATATTGATGCACAAGTGCATTTCATTTGGCTCTTGTATATCTGTACAATAAATACTTAGGGCTGCAAATATTAAGTCTGAGCAGTGCATGTATTGCTTTTTCATTTGGATAGATACAATTTAATAAATTCTCTTTCTCCCACCAAGATTTTTCTCATTTTCATCCCACCAGCAGTGCTTGAAAAGAGTTTTGGTAAGTATAGTATTGCCAAATTGCTTTCAGCAAAAGTTTTACCAGTTTTCTCTCCCATCAACAAACTTACACAGCCTGATATCAAACTTTTTGATTTTTGACAATCTGATAGTGTAAATGGTATCCCTCACTGCTATTTTTATTTTCATTTCTCTTATAGGTTTCAGCATCTTTTAATATGTTTAAGTGGCAGTTGTAGTCTGATTTCTGTAATTTGTTAATTCACTATGTTCATATTTTTATTGGTTATCAGATCTTTAATATTTGCTCTTTGCTCATATATAGGTTAAAAATATTTTCTCTTTTTCCCAGTTTGTTCTTTGACTTTTTACTTTGTTTATAGTGACTTTTTTTGCTATGCAACTATTTTTTCTTTTTATGTAGTTGAGTATGTTGGCATATTCTTTGATAACTTCTAGGTTTCATATCATATTTAGAAAACCTTCTTACTACCTAAGATCATTATGAAATTATCCTATGTTTTCTTTAAATACTTTTATAAGTATCTTTTTGTGTATGTAAATATTTAGTTCACCTGGAATTTATTTTGGTATTAAGGTGTGAGATAGAGATCCAATTTTATTTTGTTTTATCCAACCCTTATTGAATAACCCATTTTTTCTCCATTGTTTTATTTTATTTTTTTCTCCATTGTTTTTTTTTTTAAAAGGTCACCAGGCTGCCTCTTCAATATCAGAAACACACAAGATGCAGGGCATTTGCCTAACAAATGAAGAGAAATAGGGAAAGAACTTTTATGTGCAGATTCCAGGAAGGCAGATTACAAACAGCAAATCTGAGTGTCTCTTAATAACACTTCAAGCCACTTGAAATATAAAAAGGTAATTGTTTTACTTTAGAAAATGCCTTTGAAAGTTCACTTTTTTTTTTTTAAACTACTGCAGGACATTAACTGAAATAGAAATCTTGCAGAATTTGGGTAGGGGGAAAAAGCCTTACCAATATTATGAAAATACTTTTTATGAAATGGTTTCAAGGATTGTGAACTTGGCAGATAAAATATAACAGGCACTGAAAATACTTTTACCAAAGGAAATCTATTGATGCAAATTAAGTATATTTATAAACCCAAAGACTAGGTAGAAAATTTCTAACAGTATAACAAATGTGCTTTCTATTAGTTGGATTATTGAAAGCAAAACAGTTGTAAGGTATGTATCTCATTTGAGTAGCAGAAGGTTGTCAAATACTCGTAGAAAAGCAGCTTTTGAAACTCATTATGTGTTATAATAATGCATGTTTTTCCAAAAATTACTTTTGAAAGTCTAAAGCTCTGTACTTGATAAAACTATAAAACGTCTGTGTATTTATATGGTGATAGAAATTGCAAAAGGCTTTATACTATTAAATATACATACAAAATTAACATCTTCCCAGTCCGAGGATTCCTGTAAAATTTACCCTTTTTTGTACAATTTGGCGATGCTAAATTATAGATCTACAGAAAATATATTAACCAACCAACTATTGTTTCATTAGAAACTGCACCAAATCCAATGTCAAAAACATTACTTTTCTAGGATGAAATGTCCTATTATGTACAAAAAGAATTGCTGTTTGGAATTTGCCACAATCTGTTAAAAACAGCAATTTATTCTCCGTTGTTTTTTAATGTTACCTTTTATAAGATCCAAATTGTCATATATATTTGGGTCTATTTCTGGGTTTTTCATGTTCCATTGATTTCTCTATTCAAGTTCTAGTACCATACTGTTTTTTAAAATTGATGTACATTATGCATTTTAAACCAAAATTTTAAAAATTGATACATGATATACATACAGAAAAGTGCACAAAAGAAAGGCATGTACGTTGATAAATTTTCAAAAATGGAAATTTTCATTTCATTTGTGTAACCAATACCCAGATCAAGAAATGGAACGTTACCAGCACATCTGAAGTCGCCCTTGTATCCCTTCCCAGTCACTACTCCTCTCAAGGGTAAAGAAACACTCTTCTGATTCCTAATAGCAAAAACTAGTTTTGCTTGTTTTGTTTTTTTATGTAAAGAGAATCACACGGTGTGTACTCTTTTGTGTCTGGCTTCTTTTGTTCAACATTATTTTTGTGAGATTCAGCCATATTGTTGTGTATAGTTTTAGTCCATTCATTCTCACTGTGTAAGTGTTATACTGTGGGAATGTAGCAGTTTACTTTTTGATTTATACTGATGCCATTTTGATTAGAATCACATGTTTTTAGATTATACCTGAGGGAGAATTGTATTTATGATATAGAATCTTACTATAAACAGGCATAACTCATCAATGTCTCAGTAGTAGCGTTTTAAAGTTTTTGTCATACAAAATTTACCAAATTATTTCTAGGTGTTTGAGCACCTTAATTGCTATAGCTACTTTTAGGTTTAAACAGGTAAAAGGGTAATTCAGACCCAAAGAGGAATGCCCGTCGTTGCAGTAAAAGGCACAGGCTTGTTTTATGGGCCTATCGTCTTCCAGCACCAGTGGGAAGTGGTGGCAAAAAAGAGGAAATGAAGGGGAAGCCCAAAAAGAGGGGTTAAAAATTTAAAAAACCACAGGAGTAATTAATCAGATTAGTGAAAAGCCAGGTGTAATCACTTTTCCTGGAAATGTTTGGCAGGAGGGTTGACTTTGAATTGGTCGGGTAGGGAGGTTGGGGAGTAGAAGGGATACCTTTAGGTGAAATGATTCCAGGCTCACTCTCAAGTCACTGTGTGTTTGGGATTTGTCACCTCATTCCCCCTCTAAGAGCTCGAATCAGGATGAAAAGACTGAGTTGTGAGAAGCTGGGATCAGGTGCATTGTGATTTCTTTATTGTCACCTCTAGTTTCAAAGAGTCCATTCTGCTTCCTTAAAGGGTGTTCTGAACAAGATGCAGGTGGCAGTTGGTGAAACCAGTTACAAAGTGTGAGTTGCCCAGAGAGTCCAGTGGACAGGTGTTTCCACTCAATACATCAAAGCAGGAAAGTAGACTTTAGCCAGAGGGCTGGGCAGCAGGGGTTCTCAAACACAGCAGCCTAGTTCCAGGGCACTGGCTGCTTGTGGAGTTCCCTTCCTGGACAACATGCAGACAATCCATCCAAGTGATTTTCAGCTATCTGAGGTTTTGGAAAACAGCACACTCCCTTTGCCTATTGTAGGAGTCATCCCTTCTTCTCCTGTCACTCAAGGCTCTTCACCAGAAGCTAGCGTCTAGGAGCATTGGCCTCACTGTCAGAAATTACGATGGTGCTATGCTCCAGTCTTTGGATCAGATTGATGAATTGTGGCAGGTGTCCTAGGGGAGAGGTATTCCCCTCAGCCTCTCTGGCCACCACCATCTAGCTCCAAGTCTTCCTACTTAATTCCTCTTTACAAAACATTTTGGAGGAGAGTCCCTGGTCTCAGATGCTCTTCAGCCTGAATCCCCACCACCCTCACTTCTTAGAGCGGAAGTCCTACCCCAAGTCTCCTCCCTCTCTCTGAGAGATGAATGCTGGGAGGAGAAGGGGAGCGAGAGGGGAGAAGCTGGAGGCAACAGTGTGCCTCTTTACAGAGTCCATCCTATCACCTACTCTTACCTGTGCAGTTGTCTATGTCACACTGTAGCCCTTCCCAGCCTTTTCTCCTCACCTCTAAAGGACCCTGGAGGGCACAGGCAACCTAAGCCTTCAGCTTTTCCTCTTGCCGCCTGAGGCTTCTCACAGCAGAGGCTAGGTGTAAAATATACATGGGATTTCAGAGACCTAATATGGAAAAATAATGTAAGACATTATTACTTATTTTTATATTGATAACATTGAAATGATAATAGTTTGGGCACATTGGATTAAATAAAATATAGTATTAAAATTAATTGTATCTGTTTCTTTTGCTTTTTTAATGTGATACTAGAAGATCTGAAATCACATATGTAACTCACATTCTGTTTCTACTGGGCTGCTCTGGAGAGTGTGGGCAGCAGCGTCTCCCAGTCCAGACACATGCCATCTGTCCCACTGACTCAGGGGCTTCCCAGAGAAGCTTTCTCTGAACAGCAGTGCTGCTCTGCCCTTTTCTGCATTGCAGTGTGGACAACTAGAATGAGATCCTCTGGTACCTGACCCTCAAGTCCCAACCTAATCTGCTGGTGGAAGGTTTTGGAGATGAGGGAGAGGGCTGTGTCCTGAGGAGACCTTTCTGGTGTCTTATAAGCTGGAAAGTGGAGGTTGATGTTAAGAGAACTGTGTGTGCGTGGTCAGGGCCAGGGCTGGAGGCTTAGGGACACTCAGCCTCACTCTCCAAGCTGCTGGGTTCTCACGTTCACCTCTGGCCCCACCCCCGTATTCCCACTTCTGCCCCACTGAAGAGCTTGCCTGCTGGTGAAGTCCTGCGGGTTGTTGCCTTATGGCGCCAGCTTCTCTCACCTGTCAGGGACAGTTTGGGCTGGGAATCTTCTACTGAGTGGTGTCTCCTCAGAGCAAGGACAACAGCAGCAGAAATGGCTAGGAAGCTCATGATGCCTGCGTACTGTCGGGTGAGGGGAGACTGGGGGCTCCTGAGGGTAGAGGAGAACTAAGGACACTGTGCAGATGCTGCTGCAGAGAGAGAGAGAGAGGGGAGGGGAGGGGAGATTCCCGGACCATGTGACTCCCCACTTCTTAGCCCCTCCCCCTGCTCCTTCCTCTCCTCGCCTCCTCCTCCCCTTCCGATGATCCTGAGGCTGCTGCCTAGTCGCTTGAGCTCGCGGCATCTCCACTTTTTCTGGCTCTGCTTTGTCCTCTCTTTGAGGCACACTCAGAGGCAGTCAGCATCTCCTCCTCCCACTCCACCTGTGCATCTAGGGTCTCGATGTGACAGTGACCTCCATCCAGGGACAGCTTCCCACTGGGGCTGCACTAAACACGGAACAAGGGGAGACTGCTGAGGGACAGTGGGAATTAACCAGGCGGGCAGTTCCTGCTGCTCCCGCTTCCCCCAACTTGTCACTACAGCTTGCAGTGCCCCTCCCACCTTGTTCCTCCACACCTGGTCCTGCTGTGTTCTGGGCCTCTCTCCTTTGACAGCTTCGGGTTCTTGCTTTTGTTAGTCATTTTCTAGGAGTTCTGTTGCTTTTCATCGAGGGTACTAGGGATCTTCAGGACAGGAATGGTAGGGAGATCCCAACAGAATGAGAAAGAAGGGAAGAAGCTGGGGGTCCTGGGTTGGCATTTCTGCAGAGGGTTCCTTGGAAGGCAGAGGATCTCTCCTCTAAGTCCAGAGACGGAGAGTGCAGGGGAAGGGCTGACACTGAAATGGGCTGGCCTTGCTGATCTCTCCAGGCATGGTGGGCAGCCTCTTGCATAAACCCCTTAGATTCAGGCAAGGCCATTGGGATACAGGCTCAGTGGGCAGGCAGGGTAGGAAGGGGAAGTTCTGACAGAGATAAGGGGTGGAAAAGATTGATGCAAAGAAAACTCCAGAGATCACGTTGAGTTATGGCTGCTACTGCCATGGCCTTTTGGCAGCAGGTTTAATAATGTGACAGAACAGAGGCAGGTTGTGGGGGCTCATGCAGATCCAGTGCCAGCGTGTAGTCTGCCCTGAGGTTCCTTGCACCTGGGGAGGGGACAGAGCAGAAAAGAGAGGGAGACCACCTGGTTGAGGAGCAGAGACTCCAAGAAGCGAGTGGCACTTTCCAGCCCCACTTCTGAAATAATCTTTTATTTGTGGTTGGCAATTGGTATTGGTTATTAAGAGTATATGTAAGTGTGTAAGTGTGTGTGAAGAAAGCCTGGTACTGAGGCTAGCAGACTGGAGGGTTATATTTCCTGCTTTGCGTGTGGTGGGGGGAGGGCTGGATTGTCTACAGGGCCTACACCCTCAGCTCCCTGGGACCCTCAGGGAAGAGATGAGTGCGAAAGCACGAGGAGGGAGACTCTATCGAGGGGCAGCATTAGCTGCTGGCATGATGCAGGCGGAGGTGTGGGAGATCTGTGCTGTTGAGGACTAGGTTCTGGTCCAAGCAGCCTTGGTTCTCTTCCCCTTTGGTATCTGAAGCTGGCTTGGATGGGTCCCCAGTGTGGAAGAAAAGGTCAGAAGAGCTTGGCAGTGACCCGGTTGCCACCAGAATTCTTATCCCCAGAGGTCCGAGGTGGCACAAAGTCAAAGGTCACATGATGTTTGACCCGGCCTTTGCCCTTGCTCCAGAGGGCAATGAGGCCAAAGCAGAGGGTTACTGAGGTGAGGAAGGGGAGGAAGCCGACTGCCAGCACCATAGCTACACCTCTGCTATCCAGAAAGAAAGGCTGTAGGATCCCTGGCATGGTGCTGTTGGGGTCAGAGAGAGTGCCATTTGGTGGTTCAACTTGGATAACTTCCAGCCAGCTCCTCAGGGAGTCATTCCCAGCGACATTGCTGACCACACAGACATAAGCCCCTCTATCCTGTAGCTGCACAGAGCGGATCTCCAGTGTCCCATCCTCCAGAACCCTTATTCTCCCGGCCCTTCCCAGCCAAGCCCCCTGAGGCCTCATCCAGGAGACGGTGGGGGCTGGGTCTCCATCTCCAGAGCAAGAGAAAACAGCGTGCCCCCCCTCCTCTGCAATGACCCATCGTGGCCCGGACTTTCGGATCAGGGCTGGTTGGCAGGTGAAGTGCCCCGGAGGTAGGATGTCTGAAAACTCCCTCAGGCTCTTCCCCTGGACATGCCGGGGGCCGGCGCAGGCAGGGGGGGACGTGCCAAAGTCCAGGCGGTGGCGGAGCCTGAGCAGCCAGAGGAGGCGGCAGTCACAGGTCAGAGGGTTGCCAGACAGCCTCAGGGTGACCAGTTTGTCTGGAGAAGGGAAGGCTGCTTCCTCCAGGGTTTGAAGGGCATTATCTGCCACGTCCAGGAGGTGGAAGGCAGTCAGGCCATGGAAGGCGTGGGCAGCGATGGAGGTGAGGCACGCCCCCGACAGCCGGAGCTCCTGGAGCCGCACCAGGGGACTGAGCCTCCGGGCTGGGATGGCTGAGATGGGGTTCTGAGACAGGTCCAGCACCCTGAGGAAGCTCAGGTGGCGCAGCGCTTGGAAGGGCACCGAGCTCAGGTTGCAGCGGGTGACGGCCAGGCTGCTAAGGTTGAGCCCAGCCAGGCTCCCGGGCTCCAGAGCCTCCAGGGATGGCCAGTGGTGGATCTCCAGCTCCCGTAGCTGCCCCAGCCCCCAGAGCGCCCCCGCCGGCAGCCTCTCAATATCCAGTTCTCGGAGCCTCAGGGCCACCAGCGCTGGGAGGCGGGCCAGGGCCAGGCCAGGCACGGTGCTGAGGTTACAGCGCTCCAGCGTGAGGGCGCTCAGCGCGGCCAGCCCTGCAAAGGCTCCCGGAGCCACGAACACCAGGTGGTTGTCCCCGACCTCCAGCTGCTGGAGGCTGCCTAGCTCCCTGAAAGCTCCATCAAGGAAGAGGACAATCTGGTTGAGGCGAAGGTCCAGGAGCGTGAGGACAGGCAGGCCCGAGAAGACCCCGGGCCCCATGATTCGCAGCCGATTGCCCTGCAGCCTCAGGGTGAGCAGGCTCTGCAGGCCATGGAAGGCCCCCGGCTCGAGGGTGGACAGCTGGTTGTAGCTGAGGTCCAGTTCCCGGAGCAGGCCCAGGCGGGACAGCATTCCCCGCTGAAGCCCCCACAGACGGTTCCCACTCAGGTCCAGGAGCTCGGTGTCTAGTGGGAGTCCCCCTGGTACAGCCTCCAGTCGCCGGTGGCCGCACAGCACTGCCCGGGGTTGAGAGGTGCAATCACACACAGCAGGGCAGCCGCTGCTGCTCCCCCCAGGCAGGAGGAGCAGGAAAAAGAGGGGGGGCCACGGGGGCCAGGCTTGCTTTGGAGTTGTGGCCACAGCCATTCCCTCTTCAGTCCTGGAATAGATGACATGGCCCTTTTTGGAAAGTGGCTTCAGATGATGGGGACCCTGGACTTCCCTGGGCCTCCTTAGAGGAGAGAGAGATTTGAGCTGTCCATCTCAGCATGGCCAGCAGGCAGGGTGCTGGTGCACACCTCCCTGGAGCCTCCTGGAGCTCCTCTTTGAGGAAACGCTACTTTCCTCCCAGCCCTGGGTAACAGGCCAAGTGCTTACTTGCTCATGGAACCCTAGTCAAGTGGGGTAAGTTTTATGGAATGAGACAGGAAGCAGCAGGGAAGTAACTGTGAGTTTCCTTTTGTCTGTGAGATCCAGAAATGCCTCAGGTCCCTTCTCCCTGATAGCTGCTCTGTCCCTCTCTGCCCACCCTTCTTCTCCCATATTATCTACCCACACCATTGTCTAAGCTCTGGGGGATCCCATCTTTGGATCCTGATTGGAGAGAGGCCTTACCTTAACTAAGTCATCCAAGGCTGGGAAGCATATGGGCCTCAGCTCAGCCCCCCAGGCTCCACTTACTGCCTCTGTGCCATCTTCCAGCCTGGCCCAGGGCCTGAGGCCACAGGCTAACAGGATCCAATCTCCCCAGAACGCCTGGTGGACGACAGCCAGGCTGCACAGGAGCCAAGGCACAGGGTGCAGGAAGCACACGAATCCCTCACAAGAGCTCCAAGGGCAACCCCTCCTCCCCTATAGATGACATCGTGGTATGTGAGGGACTCAAGGGGTGCCCAAGTTTTGTTGCTTGGTCCCCAGACTCAGGCATCTCTCGTATCCCTCCTTCATGATCATTTTTTTTAATGATTTTTTTCTCTTTTTTCTTTATGGGGGGAGGTAATTGGGTTTATTTATTTATACTTGGAGAAGGTACTGGGGATTGAACCCAGGACCTCGTGCATGCTAAGCATGCGCTCTACCACTGAGCTATACCCTCCCCCCCTTCATGATGTTTTGATTCAAGCCTAGTGTGTGAGTCTGAGGGAGATCTCCTGTCTCCTTTGGCCTCTACTGCCTGAGCAATACGCAAGAAACGGATTGTGAGCCAGGGAGGCAGAGATAAGTGAGGAGAGACAGCACCTGGGATCCCTTGGCTGGCACAGCAGATCTCTGGGCACAGGCTGTGTGCACAGCCTGTCAATTTAAAGTAGGTTTCTGGGTGCCAGAGGCCTGGGCTACATCAGGAAGATGGAGAATATGATGACCACTGGAGCCTGACCGAGGTGATGGAGACGAGGTCCCATAGACTCACCGGTTCAGCGACAACCCAGACCCCAAGGGAGGGGAGGTATTGGAATTGGCAAGAGATGGCTAAAGAGATAGGACAAGAACCAACAGATGCTCCATGAGAGGCAGGATGCCTGGGTTTCTTTCTAGCTGCAGATCCCAGGTACCTCTGACCTTTCAGGCCTCAGGTTTTCCGGGCCCTACAGGGTCAGCTCTCTACTACATAGTCCATTTTCTCCCACGTGGAAATTAGGGGAGGCAGTGTAAGAGATGGGGTGATTGCTTCCCCTCTCCTTCCCACTCTACACCATCCTCTAAAAGGACCATGCTGGTGGCTATCCTAGAGCTGCTTTGGAGGACTGTAGTAGTTGGGAAACTGAAGAAAGGCCAAAAGAGCAGAGGAAGGTAGAACACCATTCTGAGGCTTGGGCATGAGAAAAAATGGCATGGCAGAGGCTGCTGCCCAGACTCTTCTGTTTCTATCTCAACCTAACAGGGATCTACAGCATGCTAAGAGTTCTCCAGGGAGACAAATGTCCCAGCTTCCTTCATTCTCCCTGTGCCTGTTCAGGGAAGTCCCCCTGACAGCTAGCTCTTTATTACTACTGCTGCAGTTCTTGCTCATCCTTTTTACTCTGCATTCAGCAAAAGTGCAATGAAGCGTGTAACCCAGCTTCCTTCCTTCCCACTCCTGTGAGTGTCCTCTTAGTCTCCAAATGCCTGCTGGGCCAGGGGCTGGGAGATCTGGCCCCCTTCTCTTTAGGTGGCTAATGTAATTACGAACTTTTCTGACCATGCTCCATGGCTACGGGATTGGCCTCTGGCCACTTTGCAGGAAGAGCTCGGTGTCAGAACCACTTCTTTCTCTCCTCATATGGGCTGGGGTCCGGGGCATCACCCCTCAAGGAACAGGATGCTTTCTTCTTTTTGTCTCTGTGTGGTAGTCCAGAGACACATTTGATCCTGGATATTCTCTTTAAAGCAGACATGAGTGAGGCACGGGAACCTACATGGGGCGGGGGCTCTTAGAAGAAACATTTCTGGAATATCCACGCTGATTGCAGAAAAATCCTTCCCAGAGGTAGAGAGAGCACCTGGGAAATGGAGGGAGGTCTTCTTGGAGTCCTTCCCCCTTAAGGGTACCTGGGACATCTTAGTTTTCCTGTCAAAGTCCTGTGGGACCAGGATCAATGGTTGCCTGGGAGTGGGGTGGGCACAAACCTTCTAGCCTTGACAGGTCTGGCCTTGGCTCTGAGAATGTTATGGAGAAGGGCAGCTGCAGCTCCGGGACAGGAGGTGGGGGCACTTACCAGAGAAGCTGGAGGGTGGCATCAAGTTGGGTACTGCATCCGTCCAGGGCTGGGGGCCGTCCCATTCAGGCTGCGCCTCCCCTGTGTGCCTCACTCCCTGATGCCCGCCCGCCTGCCGGGTCGCCTGCCTGCCCGCCGGCCCGCCTGCCCGCCGCCGCTGCTGCTGCAGCCGCTGCTGCCAAGACCGAGGTAGAGAAAAGAGCCAGAAAGCATTTCTCCTTTTTTTTTTTCCTCTCTCTCTTTTTAAACCAGGCAAGAATGAGTCTGCAGCAACCCTGTTGGTGCAAAATAAATAAATAAAGCCACCAGGGAGGGCTGCAGCAAGCGCCACTAGCCACTACCGATGGCAGTGGAGGGGAGGGAGCGCAGGGGGAGGGTCTGGAGCCTCTGGTGCGAGCAGTGGAAGCGGCTGGGCAGTGAGACGGGGTCTCTTGGACATCCTGACTGTCCTCTGGGGAGCTCTGAGGCCAGGCACTTTCTGTAGACTGTCAGTCTCCCAGATGCGGGGCAATTCCGTGCAACCTCTCATTCTAAATGTCCCCTGTGGGCATCATTCGTGGGGAGAGTTCTCAGTCCAGAACACCAGCTGTGGAGCTTAGTTTGAGATTGCTTGGGGGTGGGGGTGGGGGTGGGGAGTTGCTGAGGATCAGCTCTCACGCCTCAGTGAGGGAGGGGCTTGCTCAGGGTGGGGGCCAGAATCCTTACAATGCGGATGGCTGGCTGGACTGGACACCTGGGTCCTCGGGCAGGGATGATAGTAAAGAGAAGCACGCAGGTAAACTTAAGGAAGGCTTCCCTACCCCGACACACACACCTCTTGCCTTTGAAGTCATTTTATAAAGAACTGCACAGGTTGGGGTTCTGTTTACCCTACCCTAAGAGGGGAAAAAAAAAAGCCAACCATCCCTACCACCTGCTGTTTATCCCTCTGAGGAGGGCTCACAGCTACTTTTATAAAGCCGAGAGAGCGCTTGGGCAAGATCACGGCTGGAGAAACAGGCCTCCTTCTCCTGGAGGTGGGGGCACACAGGCACAGAGTGGTGGAACTGTGTCTGCTTCCTTCCCCCACGAGAAGAGCAGGGCTCGGGGGAGGGGGCCCACAGTCCTCCGAGGGTCTGTCCTTGGCCTCCTGACTGACCTGCGTCCAGCCATCTCTGCTTCTCTTGGGGTTTCTTGTGACAGAAGACAGCGGGGGCTGGGATAGAGTTTGCGCCACCCCAGGTCTAAGATTGGTGAACTGGGACACCATTGAAATATTCTGGGGTCCCTCAGGATTGGGACTTCCTTGAGGCCACTAAGTTCCTCTGAGCTGTGATCTCAAGGAAGGCAGAGATTGTGTCAGATTAAATGTGTCTACTGAGCTTCATGACTGCAGGTTATGTATGTGTTTCACGTGTATGTGGACGTGTGATCAGGTCTGCGTAACCACTGAAGTCCGTTTTTAAAGTGCACGTAAGAGGTTTGAGTTCTAACACTCTCTGTCTCTTGTCTGCCTCATGGACTTCATCATACCCATCCCTATACCCAAATCCCGTAAAAATGTTAGCCCCAGCCTCTTAATCCTGTCCCATCCTTACCCACCACATATTCAGTTTTTTCTAGACCCCAGGGTGCCCAACCATTTCCTTGCTGAGCTGGGAGGAAGGGGGAAGACAGAAAATCTGAAGACTTAGATTCAAGTTCTACGCAGGTGCTTCTGGGCTCTGGCGCCAGTCTCTGAGCTTCATGCATTGCCCCAGCCAAAGCCCCCGGGAAATGCAATGAGGTACTTCAAAGGCCTATTTGTAGCTTCTGAGCCCACAGTTGACTTCCATTTGTCCAGGATGCCCTGGATACCCCTGCTGTCCTGAGGACACCTACGTCCTTCTGGAAGTCCTTGTATCCCACCCCAGGCCTCCCAGAAGTTGCGGGTGATGGGGCTGAGAAAGGGGCCAGGACAGAGCTGCGGCTGGAGACTATGTTCCTCCATCCCCACCCTCTGGCCCTTGGCCTGCTGCCAGGCAGGCCTGCAGGCAGAAAATCAGTCTCAGCATTTGCTCACCCTGCCCCTGCCCCTCCTCCCACAACAGGCAGGGACCACCCTCCAGGGGGCAAGGAAAGGAAAAGGCTGAGAGTGGGAGGGGGTCCAGGGAGGTGAGCCAGCAGGTTCCAGGGAAGGGAAGGGAGTTTCTCCTCCAGGTCACTTGGACAGCCCCTCAGGTGACTCGACTTCAGTGCTGAAGAGTTCTTTGTAGAGTGGAGGGAAAGCAGCTTGGACCACGATGGGGTGGAGATGCTGGAAGGTTTGCAGCTTTTCCATGTGCTGGCTACACAGGCTCCGAAGCTTCCCCTTGGGTGGCAGCTGGAGATGGGTTCATGGGGAGAGAGCGTCAGCCCTCTCCCCAGAGCAGAGCAGTCCTCTCATCCTTCCTGGGCTGGGAGAACCCTCCTTGCTTTCTCCCTGTGCACCTGGCACTTGTGGAACAGCCAGGTCCTACTGGTAGGGGTAGGGATGTATTCTGGGAACTGGAGGGAAGTGAGAACCGCTGTGGGACAGGTGCATGTTTTCTGGCTGAAACCCCTAAATCATGTCCCTGCTACTCCTAGAATGAGCTGTGTTAAAGACGCTGTCACTCACACGCTGTGCTTTTATAATAGTGAGATTCTGTGACTCTCTATTATATGCGCAGTTACGGGCCTCTTTGCCTTTGCTAGTACTGCTCCCTGCTACTGGAATGCTTTCCAGTTCTTCTGTGCTTGGCTAATTCTTACCTTCAGGTGTCACCTCCTCTGGGAATATTTCCTTTAACTATCTCCTGGAAGAAGGGCCCTTCATTTGGGCTTCCCTCTGTGTAGCACTTAAACCACATTTTAGGAAAAAGATGCAGTTTGTCTTCCCACCCTAGATTTAGTTTTTTGGGTTAGTCTCTCTCTCTCTCTCTCCTCCCCCCATTCTCCCTCCCTCCCTCCCTCCCTCTCAGTATCCTCTGTATCTATCAAACTGCTTGGCACATGGCAAGTGCCCAATAACTGTTTATTCGGACTGACCAATTTCCAAGCAGGCACCCAACACTGTAAATTGTAAACCAACACTGCCGGCACTCAGCCGGAGGGGAGTGAAAAGGCCCAGAGACCAATGGGGAGACAGAGGGAGGGAAACCTAACTGGAGAAAGGCTGGGAAAACCATTTATCTTCTGCAGTTCCTCGTATAACCAAGTGAGGCTTAAAAATAGCTCTCACCATCCGCTGCCCCCTTCCCCTCAGCTTAGTTACCTAGGAAAGGGACAGGCAGAGAAGAGCAGGCAGCATGGGATCCCTTGACATCTCTTGAATTCATTCCCTTTTCATTCCTACTGCTTTATTTTGAGTCTGTCTTTGCTGTTGCAATAGCTTTATTCATTCACTCATTCATTCATTCACTCAACAGATACTGAGATGCTACTCTGTTGGGCACTGTGATGGGCTGTAGGGGTCCATCAGTGAATAAAATAACTCTCTGCCTTTATTAATTGTATACCCTAATGAGGGAGCTGGAAAATAAATGTGTCAGATAATTTCTTTAAAAAGGAATAAAACAGGGTGATCGGTAGGGGGCTTTTTGTAGGGGGTGGTCTAGGAAAACCTCTCCAGCATGAAGGGATGGGGCAAGTCACTTGGAAAACCAGGGGAAGAAACTTCCAGGCAGCCAGAAAAGCAGGTACGAAAGTGCCGAGAAGTATCTAGGCTTGATGTGTTCAAGGAGTAGCAAGGAGGCCAGTGTTCCTGGGATGGGCGATCGAGGGGGCAGAGAAAGGAGACGAGGTGAGGAAATGAGTCGGGGGTCATATCACGAGACCAGTGGGCCAGGACACAGACTCTAGATTTGATTCTCAGCACTGTAGGCCGCTCCAGGAGCACGGAGAACAGTGCGGTGTGGCTGCTGGAGGCCAGACAGGTGGAGCAGGGGTCCAGTAAGGCGGCCTCTCTAACGGTCCAAGTGAGAACTGATAGCGAGGGCATGACAGTGGGGAGGTGCTGTGTTCTGAAGGTGGAGCCAGCCAGATTTGTTTCCAAACTGCTCTCCCAAGTTCCCCTCCTTCCAACCTATTCTAGCCGACTGCAAGCTTTTTTAGGGCAGAGACTTTTGTTGAAGTCATTGCTGTATTCTCAGCACCTAGCACAGGGCCCGGCACATGGCAAGGGCTCATTGCTTGGACCATTATGTAAAGGGTTCCTTTCCACTGATTCCAAATTAAATTGCCTAAATAATAGCTCTGATGATAACATTACTCTAGCCTTCGGTGCGCTCCACTGCCTGGAAATAAAGTCTTAACTCTTTAATATGGCATTGAAAGTCCTCTCTGATTTGCTCCTTGACCTAATTTTCAAGTTTGTCTTCTGCTAATTCCCTGCCCCCATCAATCTATCCCAACTCCTGATCTAACACTTTAGTCAAAATGTTCCACTAGCTGGTCTCCGTCTGTATATTATCCTACCTCCTGATTTCTGCTTGTATTGCACCCTAAGCCTGGCATGCCTGCCCCACCCTCTGAATGCTTGTACACGTTTCATGGCCTAGTTTAAATGCCACCTTTTCTGGGAAGTATTTATGATCCACTCCTTTTACCCCCATGTTATTTTTAATCCCTGTTCCATGCTCTCGCATTTCCCGCAATATCTCTTATTGTAGTAATGTATCCGGGGCAGAGGGATACACTAGAAAGGGCACTAGGATTCAACCTTGCATTTATCACTTATAATTGCATAAACTGGGACAAGTCATTTGTGTCTCCTTATCACTACGGGGAGATTTTTAACACCTGCCTTATCAACTGAGTTGCCACGAGGATGAGCATATCTGGGAAAGCGCTTTGTTAACTGCATGATTGTTACATCACATATCACATATCACATATCACATTCAACTCTAGAGTCATTGGTAGACGAGTCTCTTCTTCACAGATTAAAAACTCTTGGTGGGGCAAGGACGGCATCTCTGTATCTTTCCACTCCACAGTACCAGCAGGTGCAGGGTAAGCGGTGGTGCTATTAAACTGAATTGTTCCCTCCCAATTCCAGGCTCCCTAACTTTCCATCTTTACACACATGGAAGTGACTGCTCAGTCCCCTCGTCCCCGGGCTGTTGCAAGTTCTCTCACACAAGCTGGCCCTCAAGCACTTCCTCCTCTGGATTCTCAGACCCTGGTCCTCACCAGCCCCCGTGTCACACATCTGGCACTGGGCCTGACCTCCTCTGTCCCAGAGACTGCTCCTACCTTTGCCAGGATGGCTTGGCGATGAGTCTTGCAGAGATGGTGATGAAAGGCCAGCTCCAGATTGTACTGCAGCTGCTCTACTTTCCTTTTCTCTTGGAGCCCTGGCCGGTCTGAAGGAGGAACGAGACCACAGCAAGAACAAGAAAGAACATGGAGGTTAACTTCCACTAAAAGGGTGTGCCATTTTGGATATCTGTGCTGGATAGAGGACTTCTCAGCTGAGCGAGAGAGTGAAAATGAGTGAGTGAGTGTGTGTGTGTGTGTGTGTCTTGGTTTGATAATGGTAAGTTCTGGGGCCTTAAGCTTGGCTAGCTTTCTACAAGGAAAACTGGAGAGAGATAAAAGGGATGAGAACTTACAATCTCCCAACTCCAAGCTGCCTTCTCCCTGGTACCCTGATATTTCTCACAGCCCATTCAGTGCTAGGCTCTAAAACTCTGCCATAGGGGAAGAAAAAAAAAGATTGGGAGAGAGCACCCTGTCCCTACCGCCACCCAGCAAGGATGGCCCCTGATAGGAGACGGCCTTCGTGAAGCCACCCAGGCTAGCCTCGGGACCTCTGCAGCGGTCTGTGGCTAACTTCAGCAAACTGCCTTTTGCCCTGACTCCATAAAGTAGCCTGAAGTCATGTTTTAAGTCTTTATTTCCAGTTCAAGGGGCACACTTATGTCTCTACCCACTGGCAGAGTCAGAAGACTGATAATCTTGGTCTGCAAACGCAGGTTAGCAGTTCAACCCACTTCCTCGGGTTCCCTGAATCCTTTGCATTCCACTGGCTCCCCCAGCCCACTCCATTCTTGTGCCATGATGGCGCAGTCTAAAAATGAGTTCATACAGAGAAGTGACTCGCAAGCTTGGTAGCACATTATAGTCACTCAAGAGAGGCTGTTAAAAACTCTGGTGTTCCGGCTGCACCCCAGATCGATGACCTCAGAGACACTGGGAGGGGGACCAGGCGGCAATCCCAGGCAGTTTTTAAAGTACCCCAGGTGACTCTGTGGGTGGCCACGGTGGAATCACAAGCTGACTGCTTTCTCTCAGGGAAGTGGCCCACTTCCTCTCATATTCAAGTCCCCCCACCTCCTCGGTCCCACCTGTGCTGCTCTTTGCCTTCTCTCAGTCCTCAGCTCATTTTATTTCACAGCCAGGTCGGGTGGGGCTCATTCTGCTCTATAAAGCAACTTCCCAGATTTAACCACAAGCGAAGGCCCAGACTCTTCAGTACCTGCCACGCCCCCACCAGCTGAATGTCCCTTCCCCAGGCCCAGTGACACTCACTGGCACTGACGAGGATGAGGGCTGTGTAGAGGGCAATCTCGTCCTCGGAAAAGCGCAGGGCGCTCAGGGAGTGGGAGAAGTCAAAGATGGAGCTGACAAGCTCGCTGCAGCCTGATGGGGCGGAGAGGAAAGAATGAGCAAGGTGGCCGAGGCTGCGCTTCCCGGGACACCCGCCCCTCGGTGTTTGGAACAGGGGGGCCAATTTGTCCTGAAAAGAGGGTGCCCTGGGTCTCAGAGACTTGGATGGGGTTGGCATCGGACTCCTCTCTCTCATTTCCCCCTGCCCCTCACCCAAGGCTCGGAACAGCTCCACGCCACCGTATTTGCCTTCAAAAAAGACTGTGTGGTTGTCAGCGTTGTAGGCCCGGCACATCCTGACCAGCACCACTTCCATTGCTCCTGGGGAGTGGGGAGAATGCAGGTACAGTGTCAAACGGAGCCTGGAGTCTGTCTCTGTCCCTTTTAATGTCCTAGTTCCCTTGGGACACCTCCCTCCCCTCAGCCCTGCCCAGTCCACATCTGTCCCCAGTGGCCCCCAGGCCTGCCCGCTCTCCCTGGGCACCTGCTTTGAGTAGCACGATCTGGTCGTTCTGGCAGAGCTCCATAAAACCTGAGAGCCTCTTAGCGAACTCCACCACGTACTGAATGGCCTCGGTGAGGCGGTGGGCACAGCGTTCCCACATCTCCCACATTGACTGCATGGAAGGAGGAGGGTCCCACTGTAGGGGGAGGGTCCCTCTTTATGACTCTGGGACCCCCGCAAGCCCCTGGGAACCCAGATGGATAAACTGCAGGGGTTAGATTCTCAACCCCCACATTCTCAGGACCAATGTTTTAGACTATGCTTAGCACAAATGCACACTCCATGTTCATTCCTGTCGCTCGGTCACACTGAGCGCCCACCAGCCACTGGCACTGAGTTAGCTGTAGGAGGGATCCATAAACTTCTGAGATACAGCTTTGCCCTCCAAGAGTTCGCATCGTGTCGAGGTGAGTAGGACACACCCAAGTCCAGTGCAGATGAGTGTTTGTAGCGCAGGGGTTGTCAGGGTGTGATGAAAGGGACAGAACAAACTCTGGAGCCCAGTGGATCTGAATTTGCCTTTGGCTCCACTGCTTTGTGATATGGAGTGAGTCTATGAATTCGCCTGAGCTCAGTTTCCCAGTCCATTAAAAACAGAAGCAAATGCCAGCCTCACAGGTCGGTTGTTTTAGGGGTCAAGGATAATTTATGTAAAGCATTTAGCACAGTGCCTGGCAGAGAAGGAGTGTTTAACAAATGGCAATTGGAATTCTGACTATTGTCGTTGATGAGGAGGAGGAAGGAGAGTCTGCCCAGGGCTGCACACCAAGGTCTGGGTGGTGGAGGAGGTAGGATGGAGGCTGGGTAAAATGTTCATAGGCAGGAGCTAAGGAAAAGCTCTCATCCACCTGCTAGGGTACGTGCTTTTTAAAAGCAGGTACATGCTCATGTCTTTCTGTGATTCTCTGCCTCGCCCCAGCCCATTTGTGTGTGTGGGTGGCCGGCGCTGGACTCCCTCCGGCGGTGGTGGGATGTCCTCCCTTCCCGGCACGGTCTCCTGGCCTCACCTTCCTCTGGTAGCCGGCCACCTCCTCTCGCGAGAAGATGTTGGAGCGCTGCCGTAGCAGGTCCTCCAGCCGCAGTTGACACGTCTCTCGGTAGGACTTACAAACGTTCTGCACCAGGTGCTCTGGGGCCAGAGGAGGGAGGCAGGGGCTCAAGCTCAGCCAGCTCCTGCCCTACCCAGACAAAGGGCACTCCTCTGCCTGGCCTACCCCTCCCTGCCAGCCCCCGCCACCCTGGGCGTGTGTGATTTACATGGGGGGCTGACTAGGGCTTTTCTCCTGGAAGCCCCTCCTTCGATGTCCCAGCCCCTCTGTCTCCCGAGTTGCTCACCCATCTCTGTCAGGGAGGCATAGGGTGCCTCTGGGGTGCTGCAGAAACTGGGGCTGCAGTAGCTGTCCGGACCCCGTCCTGGTTCCCCAAGCCCAGGATGCCTGGGGTCCGCAAAATGGAGTCCACACCTGTCAGGGGCCCGCTGGCTGCTGGTGCCAAGGAAGTCCTCTCCGCCCTCAGCCTTGACCCGCTCAGGGCTGTATTGTAGGTGGTACGAGGCCCCGTTGAGCCCGGCCTTGGCCAAGCTGTTGGAGTAGGAGGGCCCACAGGCTGGAGCTCTCAGGAGGCCAGGGGGACAGGCCGAGGCCTCGGGCAGGTCAGGTGAGGAGCCCAGGGGCAGCTGCCCATCCGGGAGCCCCAAGGTGCAGGCAAGGGGGTCTGCTCCCTGGGCCCCCGCAGGAGGGGTCCTGACGGCTTGTTCCCGTTGCTCCTGCTGCCGCCGCTGCAGCTGTTTCTGCACCTCAGCATGCAGGCTGTCCCTCTGCTTCTTGGACATGCGGCCGAACTTGACAGCTGCAAGAGGTCTGGGGATCAGGAGTGTTTGAGGCAGGAGGACAGGGCACAAGGCAGAGCCAACAGGCCTTTTGATCATTATAGGACTATCCTGTCGCTTCCTGAATAGCTGACTCCAAGCAGAGCTTCTCTCCATCTTGCCCTGGAGCCTCCCTTCAGGGCACTTTTGTTTGAGACCCCCTCCCCCCCTCACTCCCGTTTGCCGCAGGGCTCTGTCCAGCCCAGACATTCTGGTCTCCTGAGCAAACACTCCTTGCTCGAAACCAACTTCTAACAGTGGCAGAATTCAAGCAATGAGCCTGGACTGAGGATTCTGGCCTCTTGAGCCTGAGGTTGGGGGTGGCTGAGTCGGGGGCCTTAAGCTGTATCAGGGTCACCACGCCTGCCTCGGAGGGCCAGAGGAAGAGGGTGGCTGAGAACACGGGTCTCCCTGTGGTCAGGCGGGCAGGCTCCCTGTGACCTAGATACTCACCACAGCCCAACCCAGGCTCCGTGGCTCGTTTCTGAACATCCTCTTCTGCTCTCTCTTTCCTGCCTCTTCACTCGCCCTACCGCCCCTCCCAGGTGTGGGGGCACAGCCCCTTGCCCCGCCTGCCCCTTTGCAACCCTGCATGTTTCCTTTCACTTTGTTATTTTGGGCGCTGAAAAGTGCTGACAGGCTCCTTCTGGCTCCTCGTCACCTCGTGCCTCCCCCAGCCCCACCCTGGGCTCCTTCTGTGGTGTGTTGGGGAGGCAGTTTGGGGGCTGGAGAAGGGGCAGTGACTGAGGAAGGTGGAGAAAGGCACCAGGAACATCCATCCTCCCCACCTTCAAGCCTTTGGGGCTGTTCCCAGGTGGACTCTGGTCCCCAGGCCAGGGATGGGGGACTAGGGAGGGAGATGGAGCTGGAACTGGAGTGACGGGGCTGGAGGGAAAGGTGTGGACCGTTGATGGTATCTGGGCCACAGGGGAGTGGGGTGAGGAGAATCCATCCCAAGGAAGGAGAAATTGAAGAGTCTGGGACCTTAGATAAAGGAGGGTGGTTCTAGCAGAGCCTGAAGTTGGGGACTGCAAAGACCCTTGACGAGGGTGGCGTGCCCCCCATAAGCCCCCAGTGCCCGCCGGAGGACAGTGGAAGCGACAAGGGCCCTCCAGAGAGAGGCATGGAGAGCAGAGCTCTGGGAGGGCGTTTTTACAGGTCAACCCCTGTCTGGCACAGCAGGCCGGCTGCTCCCTTGGGGACTCCAGGGAAGCCACAGGGGGCTGCCCGCTTGGCCTCACCATCTCGGGACATGCCCAGCGCCAAGCATTTCTGCAGGCGGCAGTGCTGGCACCGGTTTCGGCTGGTGCGGTCGATGGGGCAGTTCTGCTGACGGGTGCAGGAGTAGGCCACGTTACATTGCTGGCTCCGGCGGAAGAAACCCTGGGGGAGGCAGGTGGAGACCAAGACTGCTGATCCCGGCCAGGCCCAACTCAGCCCTGAGAGCCTCCAACCTGCAAGACCTGTTCCCAGCTTTCCCAGATCCTAGCATCCCTTGGTTTTTTTCTCCTCCATTTCTTGGTGTAACTGTAATCTGTCCAGTGAACACTTCCCCAGCTGAAGACAAGGCGCTCCTGTGCGCAGGGCACTCCTGGTAATGGGCAGCCCCAGCAGCTCCCTGGCTGCCTCAGGAGACCAGCCCTGCAGTCAGAACAAAGGCCACTGAGCCCCTTCTGTATCTGAAGAGGCTGTGTGTGTAAGCGCACTCACCTTGCACCCCTCACAGGTGATTACCCCGTAATGGATCCCAGATGACTTGTCCCCACAGATTTTGCAAGGGATCACTTCGATTTGTGCTGGAAGAGAAAGAGCTGAGGTCAGCCCTGGGTGGCAGGCACGGGACACGGTGCTTCCCCCTGCTTTTTGCTACCCTGCTCCAGCCTGCTGTTTCCCTCTTGCAAGATGGAAGAAGGAGTGAAGTGCCAAATGCCACTCAGGAAAGGGTCTGCGGAGGCCGTTTGTGTTTCGCGGGGCGGCTGGGGTGGTGTCAGCTCTACGGGGGGCGGGGAAAGCAGCTGCAGAGAGGCCACCTGCTCAGCCCTTCAAGATGAAAAGCTCTGCTGGCCTCCCTCCCGCCTGAGGGACCTGGGAGTCCTCACTACTTCACAACACCTGCTTCCCGCCCAGGGGGCTTCCTCTGTGCCACCCACCTCAGTGGGGCTCAGTCTCCAGGGGTAGAGTGTGGGGCATGGCGGGAAGGTGTGGGGCAGCAGGCAGGAAGCCCCCTGGGGGCCAGGCAGAGATGCCAGCCATCCTCGGGTAGGCAGCAGAGGCTCAGGGAAAGGCCGGACGGAGTCCAGGGGACAAGAGGGCAGGGTCCACGCAGTGAGGCCCAGAGACAGCAGGGAGAAGCTGAGATGGAGCTCAGGAGAGTGGCGTCAATACAGCAGGGCTCCTAGGTTCCTGGCCTCAGAGCAGAGGGTGGCTCTGCGTGTCTCAGCACGTGAGCCTCTGTATCCAGTTAAGTGCACACAAAGCATGAATGTCAACACTGTCTGGGACTGGAGACCATCTAGTTCAACCTCTTTCATTTCCTATACAGATGAAGGAATAGGCCAGATGAGGTCAGGTGGTTGGCTCAGGTTCACACAGCTAGTTTACCCAGGAGCTGGGTCCATATCCCAGTTCCCCATAGCTTTCCATTTGTTGTTGTGTGTACATGACTTTGGGGGTACACACATCAGAGGCCATGCTGGATGCTTGAAGGTCAGCTCATGTGTATGTGTGTGTGTGTACGCATGAAAGGTACATGAGATTTGTCAGCCAGCGGGTGCGTCGGCTTGAGCCCGCGTGCCCAAGTGCATATGTGTTAGTGTTTGTCCGCCGGGTGCCAGGATCCCCTCTCTCCCCCGAGCCCGTTGTAACCTATGCCAGCCTCCTGCCTTCACTGTGGTTGGTTGCTGGCCCCAGGTTCCTCTCTTGTTTTGCCCCGTCCTGGTCAGTGCCCACAGGTCTCTGCTGAGATTCAGGCACCAGCCACTGGCCTTCCCCCAGCCCATCTTTGGAGGAAATGGGCAGAGTTGGGGTCCCTACTGTTTGAGATATTTTTCACACTTCTAAGGCCCTGTGGGTCACTTCTCTGCCATCGCTGACCTGCTGCTTTCCCTCTGAGGGGGAAAGCCAGTGGGTGGAGCATAAAAGTGGTCTAGGACCCCCTTCTCATCCCTGACACTTTTCCCATTCATCTCCCACCCTGAGGGTCAGACGAAGCCGCATCCTGTCTATATGGCAAATCCACATTCCTGTGAGCTCTCCTCTGGCCCAGGCTTGGACCCTGGATGTGTGTAGGACCTGTTGATGAGGTGGGGAGCGTGATCATGACTTGCCCACCACTCCCCGAAATATTGCTTCCATCATCCTTAAACCATTATCCCCTCAGGCTAGCCTTGAGCTGAGTCAGAGTAAGCAGCTGCCTCCTCATGGGGGACAGGCCCCCTTGGGTATCTGAATCTCCTCTGTTAGAATTCAAGCCTTTCCCCCTCCCCCAGCCCCACCTAGTCTGCCCAACACCCTCACAGTAAGCTGTGATCACCCAGGAAAGATAGCAAGTGAGCCTTCAGATTCTTTCCAGTAAATTAAGAGCAGATGGGAAGAGAGAACAAGAGGGGATTGGGCACCTGGAAAAGAGGCAGAGAATTTGGGGACACCTGCACATGAGGCCACTTGGATTCTCTAGGTCTCAGTTCCCCTGTAGGTAAAATCGGGGGAAACACAGCATTGCCCCTTGCACGGGGTGACGGGCAATAGCATGGGAGGTCCATGGTGTCACCTGAGGAGAGCGCAGCGCAGCCATGAGGGCTCCGTGTGCTGGTACAACGCGCAGAACCCAGAGGGCATCTGAGGCCCAAGAGAAGCACTTGCGCCCTGTAGAGTCTGCTCTTGCCTCTCCCCGACACCTTCCCCCTCCAACGCTGTGGGATCGCTCTCCTCAGTGGCCCTAAGCCCAGAGTGGGCAGAAACCAACATGGGTCACCCAAAAAAGCAAGCAGGAGGGAGACTAGGCCAAGCCACAGTGGGAACTCGGGCCCCAGCCCAGCAGTCAGCCACAGGCCTCCCTGCCTCTTCCCTTCTCCAGGAGCCACATCCGTGTGCGTGTGTGCGCTGACCACACGGGTGACCCAGACACATCTCTCTGCCCCATGGCCTGACCCACTGCTGGTCCCGGCCCTAGGACCTCACAACAGTGTCACCAAATCTTGCCCTTCTCTTAGGACAATGTGGCCAGCCACTGACCCCCTTCACAAATACCCATGTTTGGGGGATGCCAGAGATTGGAACCCAGCCACAAGGCCAGCCACTCGCTCATGCTCCCCAGCCATAGTCCAAGGCAGAGGTACACAGTGAGACAGGCACACAGCATCAATGGTTCCGTGCTACAGGGTCAGACCCTCTAGCCTCTGAGTTAGCGACCAGGAGACAACAGAGACAGACCCAGAGATGGAGAGATAGCCATGGAAACACAGAAAAACCTACACTCATGTCCTGGCCCCATGCCCAACCCCTGGCCCTGTCAGCACTGTCAGGCCCTCTCACCCCACTCCTCCCTCCTTGCTCTGCCACCTGTACCCCTGCAATGCCATCTACCCAGAACCTCAAAGAGAAAATACTGGTGCGCAGGAGTGTGACTTGTGGAGGAGGGGAGGGGAGAGAACGGGAAGGGGACTGGCAAGGTGGTGGTGGGGTGAGCAGGAGCTGAAAAACACCTCGGATACCTCACCTTCAAACCTCCCCCTTGAGCCCAGTTCCCGAAGCAGCAGCTGGTGGGAACCCAGATTGGGGAGGGGAGCTGAGTAATCACAGGATTACTCAAGCTGTTGCCCGGGAGCTTGGCCTGCCAGGAACTTACCATCTCAAGGCTTGAGGGTGCCAGGAACTAGAACCAAGCAGAGGTCAGGAACCTCTAGGCCAGCCCCTGCAGCACGGCTCCCACAGCAGCCCTCACTCGGCCCGCCCTCACCTGCTGCCTCGGGAAGATCTTTGAATCTCACTGCAGCTCTCACCCAGGGCCCAGCAAAGGAAAACCTCTAATTCCAAGGACAGAGAAACACTCATGCACACATAATACCTCCTGAAACCACCTAGTGACTGGATGACTCTAGACCCTTGAGTCTCAAACAAGATCACCTAGGGATCTTGTTAAAAGGAGGTCTGAGGGGGGCCCAGGTTCTGCATTCAAACAAGCTCTCCGCTGGAGACCAAGCTTGCTGGCCCTCACCCTACACTTCAGAGTAGCAAGTTTTCAGTCCCTCTCTGTGCTTTTGCACCAGGCGCCTCTTCCTGGGGCGTGAGGGTGGGGTTGCTAGTCTCTTCCCCAGCTCGTCCTTGTTTCTTCCCTGCCATCGTCCAGTGTGACCTCTAAAATTTCACTCTGACACAGCAATAGGAAAAGAAAATGAATGTCTTCCGACTGCTTTGGGGATTGAAGGATCCGCAGGGAACTTCCTCTGAGCACTTCCTATGCGGAGAAATACGGTAGAGACAAAGTAGGTGCCCCTCCCTCCAGCCTCCTCTAATCTCACCCTCCTCACAGCTGCGAGATTCATTGATAGCGCTCTTTGAATGTATCCAGGGCCTGGCCCTGTGCCACCTTAGGAAGCCAGCCCTAGGCCCTGTCCAGGTGCCCTGTGCCACAGAGAGGAAGTGGTGGGAGCAAAGGAGGGGCTGCAACCCAGGGGGATCTCTCCTCAAACCCCAGAACCACCCGCATCTCCTCCTGGCGCCCGTCAGTCTAGGGCTGGGCCTTTCCTCTCTTCTCTTTCTCTCTTCTTTTCTCCAGTGGACGTTGGTTAAGGGGGGGATAATTACGACAGACTGGTGTTGGCTGAATTCTTTCTCCGGGCCAGGCTTTACATACATTTTTCATTTAATGATCACAGCAACTCTGTGAAATAGATACTACTTATCCCCACTTTACAGATGAGAAAACTGAGTTCAGGAGCAAGTAAGTGGCTTGACTAAGGTTACACAGCCAGAAGTGGCAGGTCTGGCATGTGAACCCAGGTCTCTGTAACCTGAGAGCCACTGTCCTCAACCACTGAGCCATACATTCTGTAAGGATGACATCCAAAGGCACTGGGCAGAATGGAATGGGGGACAAGGTTACCGACTGCAGGGTAAATTGTGATGTGAGGGGGATGGGCTAGGAATGGAATTCAGGAAGGACACCCGTGGAACTAAAACCAGGACTCATGTCTAGTCTAAAGGTCTAGAGAGACATTATTCCCTCTGTCTCACGCCTTCCTCTGTGGTGCCAGGGCCCTCTTGCTTTTACCCATTTCTCAGGGGAGACTTCTAAGGCCAGGGAGAAACGGCTCACTCATCCCACCAGAGATCCTGACTTGGGACTCCTCAGGAGACCACAGCTCCCTTGGGGTGTGGACGGGCATTCACACATCTTGGTAGGCCTCTCTGCAGAAATGAATGAGTGAGTGGGAAAGAGGAATGCATCTCTTTTCTTAGCTTAGGCCCCCTCTCCCCACAGCCAAAACTCAGTCTCTCTCCCCACGGAGACCACAGCTCTGGCCAGGGGTCCCCCATGTACCCCAGCCTGTTACCAGCCTCCCTCCTTTCTCAGCTCTCAGTTCCCGCAGCTTCTGCAAAGCTGGAAACCACTGCGGGGCCACCCGCCGCAGGGGAGCAGGAGGGGGAGGGCTGGGCAGGGGTCAAGAGAGAAGCAGTTGCACCTGTTGAGCGCTCCTCCCTGCCCATGGCGAGAATTTTCTGCTGATACACCCAGATCCCAGGGCTGAGAAAGTAGTGAAGCTAAAACTCAGGTGGGCGAGGAAGAGTCTGGGGTTTTGAAAAGCCACGAAAGGCAGCCAGCCACCTGAAACCCCCTCCTGGTGCCCCCGCCACCCCCACAGTCTGGGACAGGAGAAAGGAGGGGAAACAAAAAAACTGAGTGAAAACAACCAGTGGATGGGGGAGGGGATGAATCACCAGGAGGAAGCTCTGAGGAGTGGGAGCCCAGACGTCACAATCAGCGGCCTTCCCTGCCTCTGGGGCTGCATCTCCTTTCCAGCCTTCCCTCTCCCCAAAGAGATATCGCCATCCTTTCTGAGCCCAGAGTCTCAGGGAAGGGGTAGCATTGCAGCAGCAGGAGGAGTGGAGACTAGATCTCAGAAAGGACTGGCCAGTGGAGGGCAGGAGGAGACCCCAGGGCTGCCTTTCTTGGAGAGCTCTTAGCCTGGGAAAGTCCCTGTTCCCTGTTTGAGTCAGGGGCTCAGAGGCAGGGGAGGGGGAGGGCGCCCCTGAGAGGGGCGGCCACACAGACTCCCATGTTTCACTGTGAAGGGACAAGCTCGGGATGCTCTGACTTCTAGCTCCTTGGGCTGGGGGTGTTTGGGAGTCCTGCTGAGGATGGGAGGAGAGGGAAAGGCGAAGGTGCAGGAGTGATGTGAGGCAGGGGGAGGCCCTTCGAACGTGATGGTGGCTGGCACTCACTGGGGGTTAGGGCAGTCCCCCCATCAGAGGACGGAGGACCCCCCCCCCCCCCGCTCCTGCCTACCAGCCCGGGAGGATGCCCTGTAGAGCCGCCCAGTGTCTGCCTCCTGCAGCCCCGGGGACTCCTGCCCTCCTGCCCGGCTCTGAGGCACACCCTATCATAGTTTCCCAGGGTGGATTTGCTGATCTGAGGCCACTTCTGGGAAGACCGGTCTGCTAACCTTTGCTGCTAATGGGAAGAAGCTAGAAGGGAAACTGAAGCTCCAAGGGGCCCTTCTTCCTGTGGAAGGTTTTGGCTCCTCTCCCCCCATCCCCGACCCAGCCCAGCTCACACACCCGCGCTGGGGTCTCCATCTCTGGCCTAGCGGTGGGGCTCTTCCCTTTCTTCGGCCTCTTCTCCACGAACCCTCATACCCTCAGACCCTCGGGAGCTGAGTTCCTGCCACTGTGCTTGGGGGTGCCTCACTCAGGGACTAGGGGTCTCTCCTTTGTCCTGGGCCCTCAGAACTGGGAGCCTCTCCAAAGTTGGTTTTGTTTTTAAATTCACTTACTTGTTTTGCAGAGGAGGAGACAAAGGCCCAATGACTTGCCTAAGGCTACAAGGCGAGTCAGTGACAGAGGTGGCACCAGAACCTGGTCTTTAGACCCTCAACCCACGGGTCTTTCCAGGACCCAATGTGACCTCCCTTCTGTGGGCTGTGGGAAGACCCTGGGTTGGGACTGGGGCTGCCTCAGGCCACAAGGGCATGGGGCTTCCCTTTGCTTCCTTCGCCCTGTGCACTGAGAGGTTCTCTGGCTTCCCTGCCCACCCTTGCTCTGCTAGAAGGCACAGGGACCCTAGGCATCTGCCCACCAGCTGTTGGCCCATGGCTCCAAGCCGGGAAAGGAATGAAGCTCCCATGTCCACTGCCTCATCCCTCTCATCAAATGGGTGCCTGAACCTGGGATGGGACACACACACACACACACACACACCACGCACACACACACAGAGCCCTGGCTGGATTCTAGTTGGTCCTCATGTTCCTGCGCTGGGCAGAGAGTGTGGTGGCTCAGAGGCCTGGATGGTGGGGCTCTGACCCCCTCTGCCTGCTAACCTCGCTTTACCCTCACTGTCCTGCTGCTTCAGGGCACAGTAACTCCTCTGGCCTCCTTTCTCATCCCACTCTTAGGCAGTTTGCAGGCGTGGAGGGAACCACTGCAGTGGGAGCCAGGAGAGTGAGTTCAGGCTGCCTATTCATTACCAGCCTCCACCTACTATAGCTGTGTGATCTGGGGCGAAGCACTCGGCCTCTCGGGGTCACAGTCTCTTTCTCTAAGATGAGAGGCACTGTGCCTCAGATACTCTTGGAGATCCTTTCCAGAGGAGTTCCTCAACAGTCCCTTTACTGAGGGAACTGCGTGGGAAGTGAGACTCCCCAGCTACTCCATCCATCTCCCAACAGACCTTGGCCTTGACCTGGACACACCCTGCCAGGGAAGAGCACTCAGCTTTGCTCACGCTGCTCCCAAGACGCCCCTCCTTTCTAGAGGGCCCGGGGTTGACGACGGGACCCAGGCTTCCCCGTTCCCAGGTGGCCCCATTCACTTACTTCTCATGACTGAGTCGTGGGCTTTGCTGCCTGGGCGCTCTGTCCTTCTCAGCAGGGGTGGTCCAGGGATGGGGCGCAGCTGGCAGCTGGGTTGGGGCGAGGCCCTCTCAGCAGAGCCTCAGCCCACAGCTCTGCACCTAGCTCTCCCCCAGTGCTTCTGGGCAGGGGGGTTTAAGCTCCGCACCATACAGGTGGCCAAGTGACAACCCCCCCAACTCCCCCACTTCCCACCCCCCTGGGATGCAGCGGTAGGATGACAGGCGCCCCATGTGGCCAATCTGGGCCTGGGGCAGGGTGTGAGGGGCGGGGCAGCCAATCACAGGGGGTGTTGGAAAATTCCAAAACCACATGCGACAGCCACACACCGGTAAAAGCTGTTTCCACCCGCCAGGTTAGTTCTGGCTGGGGAGGAATGGAGCTCACATGAGCCTGGGGCCAGGTTCCTACTCCCCCCCCAATGAGGACCCCCGAGCCTGACCCTCTTTGCCAGGTGACTCCAGGGACAGGGATGTTTCTAAAGGTAAGTCACAGAATATCTGCCTGGGGCGGTGGCGTGTGCCATCTGCGACCCTGTGGACTACCAAAGGCCGTGCTCAGTGAGATGCAGCCTGGGAGGCTGCCCCACCACCCACCATGCTCACACCCTCCCTACGACAGGGTGCACGCCCTGGGCTAGGGAGTAAATGATAATAGTAGCAGTAATAATCATCAGACAAATGCCACCAGCTGTAGGAGGGGTTGGTCCTTCAGAAATGCCCCCAGGAGCAAAACTGCTGAAATTGGGAAGTAGATGATGGTGATGATGCTTGCTACGCGCCAGAAATGGTTCCTAATGTTTTGTATGGGATAGGTACCATTATCCCTATTTCAAAGATGAGGAAAGTGAGGCACAGAGAGGTTGAGTAACTTCCCCAAGGTCACTTAGCTAGCAAAGTAGTGGAGTCAGGATTCAAATTCAGGCAGTTTGGCTCCAGATCCCACTTGAGGAGTGGAAAGATTTCTCTGGTTCAGGTCTGCTTATGAGGGTGTCTCAGCCTGGGAGGTCTCCTGGCATGTAAGTCTCTCTATAGAGTTTCTTGGCCTGAAGGTCCTTCTGAGGGACCAGTCAATTTCAGAGGCCCTCTCAGCCTCATATCTGCTCTGTGGGGTGCCTCAGCCTGAGGGTTCCCTCTTCAGGGCCCCTTAGTAATCAGGACCCCTCTTGGCCTTACGGTCTCTCCTGGACTCCTCCCTTCTTGGGGTTATCTTGGACCCCCTTCCAGAGCCCATTTTTCAGAACCTCTAGGCCTGGGGGAGGCATTAATCTCCTGGATTCTCTAAGCCAGCCTCCTAAGAGGTCTCTCATCTTGCCGGGACTCCAACGGCTCCTCCGCCTCCTGCAGGCCTTTTCCTGCTGGCCTTCCCTGGGCTCTCAGGAGCTGGGCAGTGGATTGGATAGGGCTGTCAGCCTGTGTCCTACTGAGGACACTCACGGGTGGGGGTGGCCTGGGAGTATGGTTGCACAAGGCTAGTGGGTTGGGGAGGGGATACAGGGTGTGGTCCTGGCCGAGGTTTCTGTGGTAAGGGGTTAAGGGTAGGAATAGAGTTTAGCCTCTTCTAGTTCCAGATGCTCCGAAAGTCCCCCTTCTCCCCCCACCCACATAAGGTCCCTGGCTCCCCCTCCCTCTAACTCGCTCGCGTCACTCCTTGACCCGCTTTCCTCCCGAGGCCCTGCTCAGCATTTCCGTGGGGCCCTGTGGCTAGGGGCAGATGAGGTACCGATCAGGATTGTGCTGAGCAAAGCAACCCCCCACTCAGAAGGACGTAGCATCCTGGCGGCCCCCCAGCCCCACTCTGACCAGCTCAGGGAGGAGGGTGATGCTGTTGCCCTTTGAGATCTCTCTGCTTGGAACAAGGAGCTCTAGGCAATTTTGGCAGCAGGAGGAGCCACAGTGAGCTCTCAGGAGGAACTGGGAGGCAATCCTAGAAAGGGTTATGGAGAAATGCAGGTGGCCTGACCTGCCCCAGAGTGGTCCTCATCAATTCAAGGAACCTATGCTTAGAAGGCCTTCCCCAGAGTGCCCTCAGGCTGGTAAGGGCTTGTTGATGGGACACAAGCTTTGGGACCGAGGAGCAGTGGGTGCATTTCCTGGAGGAGTAGCCTCTCCCACAAACTAGGAGGGGAGATCTGATGTGCTGAGAGGTGCCTAGAGAGGATGCTTACTTACTAGTATCCATTGGGAAGTCCTTCCTGAGCTCTAACCCCTTTCTCACATGCTGTAGCCTCAGTCTTTCAGGGCCCCAGGACTCAGAGTGTTCCTATCCATGTGTTTCCCTCAGAGATGAAGGCTTTCCTGCTCTCCAGCCCTGCACAGCCTGCCCCCAGGCTTGTTCACACCTCGGGATGTGTTAACCACAGAGATGAACACCAAACCTGGCTCTGCTGCCCGCAAAGCCTGTTGCAGGCTCCCCGAGTCCCTGAGGCGCCCCTGCCTCCCCACCTCTCCTTTCCCTGGACCAGCGGCCTGCCCCACTCCCTTGCATCTCCTGTGCCCCTGCCCAACACCTCCCTCTCCTGATTCCCTGTCACTGTTCTCTCCTTGTTTCTTGCAACGTTTCCTCTCACTCTTCAGGCTTCTTCCTTATCTCCTCCCATTGCCCTGATCTTGAGGTTTCTTTGCCTTTCCCCCTCCTTTCCTCGTCTCTGCATCTCCTCTGTTTTTCTAGGCTCCACCTCCTTTCAGGCCCGGCCATCTCTGCTTGGCTCCTCCATCTCTGTGCAACGCATGCGCCTTTCTTTTACGCGGAACTCCCAGGGCCCTTGCTGAATTCCTTGCCATCTCTCCACATCCCCAGTTCTTGCCCCAACTCTCTACTCACAGGTGTGGGTCTTCTTTGCAGCCAGCAGCTCTGTAAAGAGAAGAGAGGGGGTCAGGACCAAAAGTTGAAGACCACAGAGGACAGAGAGACACCCGCCAATGCCCAGGCCCCCATCCCCATCCCATTCCTTCCCAGAAGAATGTGGTGTCTGAGGATGAGATGGCCCCACCCTCCATAGCACCCCTCTCTTCATTCTCTGCCTTCCAGTCACAAGAGGCCTCTTCCGGGTCCTCAAAAGTGCCGGCTCCCCACTACTCTGGGATTTCCCCACACTATTCCTTCTTCCTGGAATGCCCCTTCGTTGCTCCACCTCAGTCTAGCCAACTTCTCATCCCCCAAGTTCCCGATTATGTCCTTTCTTAGAGAAGCTCTGCACGCCCCCTACCCTGCCCTGGTGCTCACACACTCAGCACCCGGGCATTCGACTTCCTGGCACTCACCACATCATCTCTCTACTATAGTTGTGTCATTATGTGTGAAACGGGGCTTTCCTGCTAGACACTAAGCCCTATGGAGGCAGGGGCTGTGTCTGTCTTGTTCACCTTGTTATTCTGTAGTGCCTGCCCCGTGAGAGGTGCACAGTAAATATCCTGCAGCCAGAATTAAATCTCTTGGTTGCTTATTTGTGCCTGCAAGCACCTGGGAATTCCAGAGGTGTGGGGGTTGAGGGTAGGGAAGTGAGGATGTTAGGAGGAAGAGGAAGGGAGAGCTGTAAGCACAGACCCTGCTCTGCCTTCTGCGGGCTCTGGCTCCGCTTGCAGAGGAAGCAATCCCTTCCTGTTGCTGTGTGTGGCTGGTCCCGGTGGCAAGCAGGCAGTAGGGAGCACCGGCAGGCTAACGAGGGGTGGGCAGGGAGGCACAGACCTCCAGAGGGACAGCTGCTGAGGGGAAAGCCTTATCCAGAGCACCGCTGGCGGGGAGGGGTGCCATTCATTCACATGATTAGCTTTTATTAAACACCTACCAAGGAGGCTTTCCCTGCTAGACTTTGGTGCATTTCTTACAGCTGCATAGCAGCCCCTCCCAGAGCACAGGGCCAGTCTTTAGTTTCAGAAAACACTGCAGGCCTGCATTATGCCCCCTACAGTTACCCTAACCTCTGACTCTGCTCTCCTGTTATTTTTCACCTTCTGCTTGTCCAGTCATGGACACCTCCACCCTCCCTTCCCCTCCATCCCTACACTGTCCCTCTGCCCAGGTGATGCTCCCCACTAGCAGGCTTCCTCCATTGGGCTGAGTGGAGGTGAGTGGTCTTGAAGGCCTGGGCTCTGCTGGGCTGGGGTGGGGGAAAGACTGCCCAGCGAGGGAGTGGCTCCATCCGGGGCCTCCCATCTCCCCCAAGATTCTGCGTGGCCCCCCACCCAGCTTCCTCCCCGAAGAGGCACCATCTCTCTGGCCCCTAGCCTTGCACTTCAGAGGAGTCCTGGGGTGGGGGTGCTCCTCTTGCTCGCCCTGGCAGTGGAGTTCTTCCTCCACCAGGTGGCCCTGGAGCTTTCCCCCTCAGTGCTCACACCTGACCAAGTGGCAGTGGGATCCTGCAGATAGGGTCTCTGAGTCAGGTCATTCGTGGAGCCAAGGACTACCTGACTCTCTTGCCCCCTGATGCCCCTAGCTGGGTGCCCACACTCTGCAGAAATGAAGCCCCATGCCCCCGGGCCAGGGGGAAGGAAAGTGCTGGGCTGGTGGGTGTGGGCGGCAGACAGGGAGCTGTTGCTCTTTTCCCAGACCCTTTGTCATCCTTAAAGGCAGGAGAGCTTCTTCCGTTGGTGAGTGAAGTGGCCAGCCTCCCAGCCACTGCTGCCCAGGGGCCCAGCCTGATGAGCGGTGTCGCCTCTCCTCCCAGAGGGTTCTCACACTGGGAAGGGCCTGCCCACGTGCTGCCCCTTCCCTCCCTCTGGCTTCCGGGCCTCTGTTCTTTCCCCCATCCCACCTGTCTCTTCCTTCTTCAATTCTCCCTTTCTTTCCCATCCATGTGCTTCCTCTCTCCCCAACTTCCTATTTTTCCTCCTCTGTCATGTCCCCAGCCCCTCCTCCTGTTTCTCCTTCAGTTTCTACCAAGACCTGTCCCGTCTCACTGGCCTGCCTTCCTCTGCCAACCCGTTTCTCTCTTTCTCCCTTCTCTTGCCCCTCCTCCCCTCCTCACTTTCCGACCAGTCTCTTCCCATCTCTCTCTCTCCTCTGAACCTCCTGGCAGCCCCTTCCACCTGCCTGCAGGGCTGTAGGGCCTCTTACCCTGCGAGGCTCGGTGGTGTCTCTGTGGGGCTCTGTCCATGGGGCAACTCCCTTGGTGCCGTCCTTGCTGCCCTGGCTGGCCAGGAGGGCAGGGAGCAGGGCCCAGGGGAGGGAAGAGGGAGGAGGGAGGGAGCACCTGGCCCGGCAGTAGGCAGGGGAAAGGAGTGGCTGGCAGAGCATCCTGGCATCAGGAGGGGGACAAGGGGAGAGAGAGGAGCAATACAGTTTGGAGCCTTGAGGAGAAACAGGATAGGTGATGGGTAGGGGGCTAGCATTTATTGGTCACCTACTGTGTGCTGGGCCCCTTGCTGGTCACTCTAGGAAAATCCATGGTTTTCTTCAGTTCTCCCAAAATCCACCATGAGGCAAGCGCAGTTCCTCCAGACAACTAGCCAGTGCTCGTAAGCTATGTGGCGCTCGAAGATTGTCACGACTCGCCCAAGGGCTTGCACAAGGACAGGAAGTGCCTGACCTGTGATTTGAACCCAGGTCTTTGTGACTTTAGAATCATTCACTTTCTATTTGACAAAGACAGGTGGCAGGAACGGGGGAGTTGGGGAGCAGAGAGACGAAGACAGGATGGCTTATTGGGGGGTGCCTCTTCTCCAGGACAATGTCAGATTCATCGCAGTGGTTCTCGAGTTTCTTGAGGTCTCTGCCAGCTTAGCCCCTGCCCTTTGCTGTCCTTCCCTAGAATTCCCTTGCTTCCTGGTGCCTTCACATAGTCCCGGTCTGCTGGGGCCAGGGGCAGGCTGGAGGAGTGTGCAGGGGCTGAGGAGCAGTGGGAGAGCAGAGGCGAGGAGACACGCTACAGTGAGCCAGCTGCAGGAGACAGACCCCAGGCTGAGCCGGCCCCCTGGGACCTGCCCTGAGGAAGGGCTCTGCAGAGAGCCACAGGGTACGGCCTGCAGGTCCTGGATGCCACTAATTTCCTGCACAGCCTGGGCCCAGAGTTTGATTAGCTGGGCCTGGCTCTCCTGGTTGCCCAACAGGCCGGCTGGCCAGGGGCCAGGCTGCAGTGGGGAGGCTCCCTGGCACCTCCTCCTGCTCTCAGTCCCAGCTGGTAAACAGCAGAGCAGGGGCCAGCCACGCCTCAGCCTCGTGACTGCAGCCCACTCCCCCCAACCTGGTGCACGTGGCGCCTGGCGTGGAGCGGGCAGGCAGCTGTCCCTTCCCTTCCCTGCCCTCCCATCTCGCCGTCATCCGATCGTGCCCCACCCTGGAACTTCATACTCTGCTATCAGCGCCTCCACTCCAGGGGAGCCCCCAGAGTCTCCCAGGGGCTGCAGCTTAAGGGACAAAGGTTAGAAGTAGAGAAGGACTTTCTAACTCCTAGGATGGTTGACAGAGGGGCAGGGAGTGAGGAAGAGTGGAGTGGAAACTTTTGGGGACCTTCTTGTACCGAGAGTCTGAGGGCGTGTGTCTGTGTCTCTGAGCCTCTTCTGATTATCCCCGTGTCCTTTTGGTAAATGCATGGCCCACGCGTCTGTGTACACTTCTCTGCACAGAACAGGATGTTGGTCTGTTTTGGGGCTCAGCCCCTTGGGCAGGCTTGGAGTAAGAAGCAAAGCTCTCTGAAGCACCGCCCAGCCCAATGGCCAGCTGACAAGTAGAGCCGGCAAGAGGCAGAGGGGCAGGGCTGCAGAGAGCGCTCGGCCCGTGTGGCTCCGCTCTCCCCTTCCCCGCCCGTGACTGGCTTTGCATCCACTCAGTATCCTCCATCTGTGTCTCTCCCTGCCAACTTCTCCCCGACCATGGCTCTTCTGTTTTCTGTGCCTCTGTAGCTCATCCCCCTCTCTCTTTTCTCCTCTTTTAAGCCTCTCTTCCTGTGACTCTGGGTCTCTCGGGACCCTTCCTGCCCTCCCAATGGTGGGCACAGAGTAGAGGCCCTGCAGAGCGCCTGGGGATGGGCACTTGGCCCTGGCATCATGCCAGGCAGTCCTGCCTGCCCCAGATACCACAGGTCCGGCTGCCTCTCCCAGCCACGCCACTTCGCGCCACTGTGTAAGGTAGGGAGGAAGTTGGGTTGGGAAGACAGGGTCCTGGCCTCTGGGCCTAAGCTAGTCACATGCTTCCTGGACGTTCTCTACCCCTTCCTTGCCCTAGGTATGGATGGCTGGGTTCTGTCTCCCCGGGGCAAGCAGTTCCCTTGGTCATCCTTTTGGGAAGCTCCCCCTCACGCCTGACCTTCCCCGCTCTGGCTCCCATGCAGCCCCTCTTCTGGAGGAGTCAGTCCTTTCAAAGCAGGGCAGTGGTTATTTCCTCCTCAAATACATTCTCACGTTCTTATGCAAGGAAGAGGCTGATAGAGATCAGAGAATCATTTCACCCCCCACGTGCCCAAGTTCCCTTATCAGGCCAGGGAATCTCAACCCAGGGGGCAAGCAGCCTGGAGGGGGGCAGGGTGGTGGCAGTGGCTTGGAACTGAGGAGCAGTCACCAACTTCTCTTTCCCGTCCTCCCCACCCCCTAAACCACAGAAACCACTTAAAGCTCAGTGCAAGCCTGCCCCTCTTGGGAGGGCCTGGGGTGGAAAAGTGGAAAGTATGTGGGTCCTGGGCAGCCTGCATGCCACATATCAGCCCAGCTCTATCTTTCTCGAGAGCCACCTGCTCTGGGAAGCCTAATCAGTGATTCCATGGAGGATTTGGGTCCTCCCTAGGAGGTCTGTGCCTGGGGAGACCTCAACCCACTGGAGTGACTCAGAGAGGGGGCTCTACCCCACCCCCTCCCTCAACCATTAAAAAAAAGACATCTTAGGCTCTACAAATATCTGTAGATCTCACAGTTGACACCCCTCCCCTTTCCGGTCACAAAGGCCACTGTGGGTGGAGGCACTAGTGGGAGTTTGACCCCAGCTCCTGGCCCTGAACTTTCCATGTGACCTGCCTGTACCACTTATCTGTCAATTAACACTTGTGGTCACTTAGGCTTGGACGCAGCAAGGAGGGCTGAAAAGCAGGAGCTCTGATTTTTGGAGCCAAAAGACTTGGATAAGAATGTAGCCTGCTATCTATTAGTCCTCAGGGACCACACTGTTAAAAAGGGGACAGTAATATCTGTCCTGACTTGTGTCTGTGAACATACTTTGAGGCCAGAGCAGTCTGCACACAGGGGGGGGTTCTTAAGACCTTGTTTGCCCCCAGGACATGCTTCTGTGGCTTTAGCTAGTGAGGAAGTTCCTCCAGGGACATTGTGGCCCCCATCATGTGGAAACAGGTCACGGCGGGGGACACTGACTGAACAGCTCCTGGGTGAAGTGAATTGAATTCCCACCTCACAGGCTCCACTGAGCAGCAGGTGGGGTAGGGGGTCTGAATGCAGCCACAGTCCTAAACCTTCCCTGCAGCCAGGGCTGATCCCCAGGCAAGTTTACCTAACCTCTCCGATCTGTCTCCTGCGTACAATGGAAAGAGGACCCACCTTACTGTGCGGTCGCGACGATGGACTGGTATAACAAGTAACGTACAGGACCTACTGGTACTAAGGACTGTGGTTAAAAAGAGATGTTTTGGTCCCTCCCTCCCTTTTTTCATTCCTATATTTGTCCCTTCTTCTCGTCACCTGACTCCCTATGCCCCTGTCTTGCTTTATTTTCTTCTGTGACATATTACCAAGTAACACTTCTACATGTTACTTACTCATTTTGCCACTTGTCTGGTCTCTGTCTGTTTCGATCGCTCCGGTGTCCAGAGCCCAGCGCCTCCTGGCGCTCCCTAAGTATTTGTTGAAGAAATGCATGAATGAAGGGTGTTGGGCTGCACTCTGCAGGCCTGGCTTCAGGACCAAAGAAAGATCCCAGGGTCAGCAACAAAGACATCAATGGTTTAATGGGCAGGGGGATCTCACATGTCTGAAGCAAGGTCCTGGGGCGACTCCCCGCCACGTGGGGCGGAGAGCAGGCAGGACACAGTGGCAGGTTTGCAACTAGGGGCAGGGGGGTTAGCAGTTACAGGGGGAGTTGATGTCAGGTTGGCTCATTGTTTACCAGGGAAACCAGCAGAGGGGAACACCTCTCACCACCCTTTTGGTAATAATAATCACTGGCTGAAATCTGGGGCAAGTACATAGGAAGGTCAGTCATGTGAGTAGGATACGGGTGGAACAGACGCTGGTCGAGTAGGGGATGTACAGAGAGCAAGAGAACAGCCACCATGAGTGGCCTGACCACACAAAGGGTAAATTACCACTGCTTTTCTTTCCAGCTACTTTCAAATGGGCATCAAATCCAGTTGCTCACCAAAGGTTGTTAGGGGAGACTTGGGGCTGAAGTAGGACAGTACAAGGGACAGAGCTGGACCTACAGGTGGGCTTCACAGGCTGAGAAGATTGGAGAGCTATCACCCTAGGGAAAGAGGTGACCTGGCTGGGAGGTGGCAGCTGGTACTTAGGGACATTACACTGTGGTGAGTAAGAGCCTAAACTCCAGGGCCAGGCTCTCTGGGCTTGAATCCTAGTTCTACTCTTCACTGAATGAATGAAACCCAAGGTCACGTTGGATAACAATATTAACAATAGTACTTAACCCTCATGGGAATGGCTGAACCGCTGTTGAAAGTTTCTTGAGTGGTGATCTCTGCATAGCTGGTAGTACTTACTATTATTTGGTCAATGCTACCACCTGGTGGACATCTGGAGCAAGATTTTCCTGGCCTGGGCCTGGGCCTGGGGCTACAGTCAGGGGGTGAGAAAAGGAACTGAGGAGTGTTCTGAATGGAGGTGTGTGTTATGCTCGCATTGTTCATGCTGAGGTTTACCTGCATCCAGCAGGCTTGGCCCTGGTTAGGGGCACTGGGCAAAATGAGAAGAGGCCCACGAGGAAAAATTGGCCCAGTGCCTCCCTTCCACCTTCCCTCTTGCCCTTCCTTCTTTCCTCCTCCAAGCCTGGCCTGAGCCAAGAGGAAGCAGCTCCAGCGAAGGTGGGGTGAGAGAAAAGAAGGTCACTGCTGACGTCAGGGACATTCAGGTAAGAGGGAAATACAACGTGACCTACATTTCTCCATCTTCCACACTACCCCCTACTCACTCGGGTAGACTTCTGGGCAACCGTGAGAACAGCTCTCATACTCTCTCTTCTTCCCCCAAGACCTCAACCCCTGGGACATAATATCTTGGTCTTTCGGTACCCAAGTGCGTCTCTGGCTCTTGCTCTAGCTTTATTCCCCAGGGTGGCACAGGTGTGGAAGGGGAGAGGACACCTAGAAGCATTGGGCGCTAGTCTGACATCCCCTGCCTCACTCAAGGCAAAGAAATTTCATCCCTCTTCAGCACAGATGTGAGTGTGAGTAGGACTGTAGATGGGTGGGGGAGTGCTGATTTCCCCTGTGCGGCCCCAAGGAACCCCCAGGGGAAGTGGCTTCTGTTGGTTTCAATCATAGAGCTTTTTCTGGAGTGACTCAGTGATTGGAGGGCCCCCTGAAGGGGTAGGGGCCTTGTTGAACAGGAAACCTAGGACCTACCCAGCCCAGACCTACTGAACTAGTGTCAGTGTCTCTTGGGGATGGAGCCCAGGGTTCTTTCTGCATGTGTAAATGAGCTCATCTAGGATTTCTGATGTCTGCTTATTCTGATGTTCATTCAAGTTTGAGAACCACTGCTTAAGGTCCTCTCCAGTTCGGACCACCTGAATGAGCTTCCTCCACCCCTCCTATGACCAGGGCATAGGGAAGAGGATGGGCTGCAGATCTGAACAAGGGGAGAGATCCTGCTAGAGAGAGACATTTTATTAGCAAAAATAAATACATGCCGGGCAGATGGAAAGACTGAGGACTGCAGAGCGGGTGGGGACCTCCTGAGGAAGAGACAGTCTCTCAGTCTACAGGCTGAGATGGGCAGGCGCCAGGGAGGCCCCGGGACCTAGCCCACCGCCCAAGGGGGGCAGCAGGGCTATAAGAGGCGTCTCACACTCCCCCAGCAGCACGTCCCTGCGGAACCCTGCGCCCCTATCCAGCACCTTGGCCTTCAGACTTCGGGCGGCCAGGTCTGGCGGGCCGAGCCCATCGAAGAAGAAGTCCTCATTGAAGATGGGGGTGGCGCTGCATTTGACCACGCGGCTCCGCAGGGCCTGCGGTCGGGCGCGCGGCCGCAGCCTCAGCACCACGCAGCAGCCGCCGCCGCCGCTCCCGGGGCCGGCCCGCGACAGGGGCAGGCCCTCGGCGCTCACCAGGCGCAGCCGCAGCCTCCCGAGCCCGGCCTGGTACTCGGCGGAGAGCCGTAGCTGCCCGCCCCGGGGCCGGAGGCGCAGCACGCTCTCCTTGGTCGGCCGCAGCTGGCAGCACAAGAAGTCGAGGTGGAAGAGCGGCGGCGCGGGCGGCCCGGCGCGGCGCGGCGCGGGCGGGCTGGCGTCTGCCGAGCTCGCCTCCTGCGGGCACAGCGAGCGCGGCCTGGGCGGCCGGGGCCGGTCGGGGCCTGGCCGCGGCGAGCCGAAGGGCGACGAATCGGGCGACGAGGCCGTATCACTGTCGGGGGCCCAGCAGAGGCGAAGGTCCGGGGCGGAGACGTGCAGCCGCGACTGCGCCGGGGGCAGCCTGCCGGAGCGGGCGGCCGGCGGCCGGTGGAACAGGGACTCGCGCCGCCGCGTGTGCGGGCTCTCGGGCAGGAAGGCCCAGCCTTCGCGGCCCGCCAGGTGCGGCAACGAACAGGCCGAGGGGAGGCCGCGCCTGCCCGCGTCGCGCCCGCCGAGGGGCTCGGCGTCGCCTGGGTCCGGGAGCCGAGGCGGGATGAAGAACTGCGGGATGCAATCGGGGGTGAGGACGTTGGGGCAGGTGCGCGCGAGCGAGCCCGGGGTGCGGCGCTTAAGAAACAGGCTGGAGGGCGCCCACCGGGCCTCGGGCTCCGCGGCCCCTAGCCTATAGCCAGCTTTCTCCAAGAGCCACATGCGGTGGGCTGGGAGTGCTGAAAGTCCGATTTCCACGAAGCCGAGAGGGGCCAAATCCAGCGTCTTGGGTTAAGGCCTGGGCGAGGAGAGAAGAGCCTGCGGTGGGTGATGCTGCAAACGTACACCGGGTGGTCCGCCAACCCCTCCTCCCTTGGCCCACGGGGCTTACGGGCCTCGTGTTTGAGCAGGAAAAACAAAGGGCGGCAAAGTTAGGGTGCCCGGGAAGAAACAGAGGGAGCCCAGGGCTAGACAGTCACATTTTCAGATCAGGCCTCCAGCATCCGAGTACACAGACCCTCCCATTGGTACTAAAGATGTCTACCCATGTCAGAGTTAGAAGGTCTAACACACCTACTAGAGCCCTAGGCTCCTATTAAGAGAATAGAGTAACACCGCGGTATTAAAAGGTCTGTAGTCACAAACACCCACCCAGATCCCGGAACCCAGCTCATATATACACATGTTCCCCCTGAAGAGACACCGCGGCCCTCGGCGGGCTCATCGCTTTCTTCGCTGCCCATTCCAAAGACTCTAAAGACTCGGGCTCTTCTACAAAGTCTGATCTGGAGCCCCTCGGTGCTCCTCCCCCGCCCCCCTCCCACCCTCGCCGCGGGCTGCCCTTCCCTGCGCCGCAAGTTCGTCCAGGCTGAGCCATCCTTCGGCCCTGGCCCCACCTGCCTCCTATTGCTCCTCCTTCGCCTTTTCGAGTCGTTCCAGGCCAGAAGCAGACTCGCTGCACAGTTGGCTGCTTCCTTGCGAGCACCCAGGCCGGTTCAAGAAGACGCACCTCTCGGGGGCGCAGGATCCCACCCCTCGTCTGCCCTGACCGTCCTGCTCCGTGCCTCCCGGTCCTACCGCATCCCGAGTCTGCAGCGCGGCCCGGCTGTTGGGCCGCCCCTCCCACTCTCCACTCCTTTTCTCCCTAGGAAACCACTGAGCACAAAGGCAGCATTGATTCTTCGCCACCCCCTGAGCTGACTCCGGGAGGCCCCGCCGCCGCGCGCTTACCGCACCGCCTCGCCGCAACCCAGGGAGCGCGATGTTCCGATTTTCTGCCTGGGAGTCGGAGCCCACAGCGACGGGCGGGCGCCCAGATAGCAGGCCTCACCTGTGGGCCGCCTCTGGGTCCTGGCCTCTGGCCAGGAAGCGTTCAGAGCCCGGAGGGGAGCAGCTTCCTCTCCAGCTTACTACCCTAGTCCAGTCCTTCTGGGAGGAGCTGGCAGGGGCCTCCGTTGCCTACGTACCACCTCTTTTCCTGGATAAACACAGCTCTGTCTCTGTGGCCATCAGCCCGGCCTTCTTAACTCCTTCCTTCAGGTTTCTAGCAGCAAGCCAGCGCTGTGCCCTGGGGCCTTCTCTGGGAGTTGGGGAGGGCGGCAAGGAAGAGGGAGGCGGCCGTTAGTGGGCAGTGGTCTCCATCCCTCTGTGCTACTCTGGCCCCACCTCAGCCCTCCTGGGTGAAGCCCACAGCCATGGCCACACAGACGGTATCTTCTGCAAAGCCCTCTTTGCTGGAATCCTGCCTTGGCCCTGGTTGCACCCTTCTGGAACCATCCCAATTGCTTCCAGACAGAATGCCTTGCAGTGACTAGTTCTCTGAATTACACGGGACCAAGGAAAAGTGACCAGGCTCAAGATTTCTGGACATAGAGATACTGAGGGCAGAGCTTGTTCCATCAGGGAGTCGAGCTCAGGCTGGTCTGTGGCCCCATCCCCCTGTCCTTGTCAGAAGTGGGTTAAACTGTACACATGGAGGGTGTCTCCCTCTTCCTTCTCCTGATTGAAGGCAGATCCTCGGAAGCACAGGCCACGACTGACAAGATGAGACCATCAACTGTACTCCAGGTACGTTCACTATCCTTCATTCCCTCCTTAGGATATTTGCATAAACAAGTTCCTCTCCTAGGACTCCCCCACCCCCCTTCATTCTTCCCATCTGGAGGCCGCCACCAACACCCTCCCAATGAAATTAGAGGCTTCTGTTGTCTACTTTCACAGTACCCCGTTCTTTTCCTAACGGCACTGTTCATAGTAGTTGTTTTTTTTCCTAGAGTTTATTTACATAATTATTTAATGTCTTCCTGCCTTATTGGATGGTAAGCATCACAAAGACAGTGCTTAGAACAAGGCAGGTGCTTTTCAGGATTTGTTGAGTGAATGAGTGATATTAAGCAGAATTGTATCTGAATCGGTTCATTTATCCCTTCACAGTGCTGGGTCCTGGGGATACACAGAAGGGGAAGCAGCCTGAGGGGAGAGACATGCAGTAACAAAGGCAGCAGCAAGACAAGTTGTGAAATTCGGGGAACAAACCAGGGGATTATTTTAACATCTGATGCTTGAGGGTTTTGAGGGGGCAAATGTTTCTTTTATGGAGATTTTTGGTGACATCCAGACCCTCCGATCCTGTGGCTTGTGACTCTGCTCAGCCCTGGTGTCATTTCTAGGGAGGGTGATGTGTATGGAGTGCTGCAGCCACGCAGTCACAGCTGTGGCACCCGTCAGCTGGGTTGGAGGGCTGAGCTCTGCGACTTACTAGCTGTGTCACCTCTGGTGTGCAACTTAATCTCTCTGGGCTTCACCTTTCCTATCTGGAAAGTGGAGAGAAAATACCTAACTCTCAGAGTTGACGTGAAGATTACATAAGACAACACACGGGCATCAGTTAGGCTGACTTCTGCTGAAAGTACACAGAAACCTCAGCTCAATCTAACCTGACAATAAGGACATTTCTGGCTTCTCTGATAACAAGTCCAGAGGGAGGGCAGGATTCAGGGGAGTCTGATTCTGTGGCTTCATTCATTCTTTCATTCATTCATCTGTCCATGGTTATTGACTACCTACTGTGTGCCAGGCACTGTATACTGAACTCTGGGGATACAGCAGTGAGAAAACAGAAATCTCCTGGGAAGATGGACTTTATACTTTAGTAGGGGAGAAAGACAAGAGATAAGAATAAATTAGTAAAAAGTACAGTTTATTAGTTTATTAGATGGGAATCAGCAGGGGAGAAAATTAAAGTCAGGGAGGATCATAGAGGGTGTCAGGAGAGCATACAATTTTATCTTCTTCCTAACCAAAAATATTTTAATATAGGAGTCAACAACGTGTGAACATTGAGGTGGTAAAATTAAGGTTACAAACATGAGATAAATATCAAATAATATACTTCTGGTTTAATGGAAAACAATGGTTATGACAGTCATGTTTAACACCTTGGTTAAGTAAAGAGACAAGTGGGCAGGGGTGTCACAGAAGTATGCAAACATTTAACAGTTCAAATAATCCTTAGCCCTTCTGAGAAAATGCAGATGGCAAATATGTGACAAGTATTTCTCTAAATGGTGGTTTCAGTCCATTAGTGATCATTCTGTTCATGCATTTAAAGGAACTGCGAGTGCTTCTGAGCGCTGAAAACTAGATTCAAAGTAAGTCTTTGCCTCAACTCCAGTACGACTGTTTTGACTTTCTTCTTTCTCTTGACTGCACAGGAAGGATAGAGTACCTTTCCCTTCTTCTCTTGGGAGTGTTTAAATTAAGATTAGGCCCTTCTTGAGCATGAACAAAAGACAAGAGGTTTTTGGTATACAATGATTTAGACTCTGGGTTTAATTGGTTATCAAAGGCAACTGTAAAAGCACAAAAGGAGAAAGGATTTTTACATGACCATATGGGGGAGGGCATAGTTGGTTTCCATAAGATTTCTGACTATGGCCTCTAGCATGTCTCCAGCTTTTGGAGGGCACTGGATCAAGGACTTTTAAATCCATGTCAACCAATCCTTTGCCCATTATTCAAGATTGATGGTTTAGGAAGTGCGTGGTCTCATTGCTAGAAGGAGAACATGATCCACCCGCCTCTCCACCACTGCTGAATTTGTGTCCAGCTCTCCGACCCTGTTCCGGGCCACAGAAGGTGCATTCTCTCTGATCCCCGGAACCCCCAGCCCCAGTCCCGGATCCTGGAATCTTAGCTTAGGTCTGAACTTGAATTCTTCACTTGTCAGTATGAGGGACACAGACTCATCCTGCCTGCCTCTGCCAATGCTCCTTTCAAACTGAGGCAGTGGCTGCTAGCTACTTATCAAACCCATGTCCATTTTTTCTACAACATAGAGTTAGACCATATTTTCCAGCCAAACTCTCTTGCAATTTGGTGGGGTCTCGTGACTGAGGAAACACTTTGAGGTTTGCTCCCACCCCTACCCCAACCCCAAACCTCCCTTGTGATTCTCTCTTTTCTCATCAACACCGAGGATGACTTTGGAAATCACGTGTTAAAGATGGCTGAGCTTTCATCAAGACAGGTTCCTAAATGACTCCTAGACACCCAAAACTAGACTTTATATGAGTGAAAAGTTCATTCTACTTAAGATGAGGATTAGGCTATGAAGATGCAAAGGTTTATCTTTGGCATCACCATACTTAATAATGAGGTCCTTTATGATATGTCCCTTGGGGCTCTCATTCTTTGGTAAAACTTCTCTAATCCTTTACCTCTTCCTGGATGTCCCCTCTACCTACTGGCCTGGCTGGAATGCTGCCTATCTCTGTGCAAGCTGCTTGGTTTTCCACCCACTCCTCCACAGGCCCAGAGGAGGTACAAGCTTCTCCTGGGTGGTCATTGCCTCCACCAGTCCATTGTTCTCCCTCACATCAGACTTTTCCTCCTTGTAAATGGGTACCAGCCATGTTGCTCTTTCATCCTTTACCATTGTTCTTACCTGTCTCATCCGCCATTGCCCTTCAGTCTTGCCAGCTGACTCACACCTTTCTTTCACTTCAGGTTGGTGCCACTTCAGATGTCTGGTTTTCACCAGCAACTGGGCCTTCCACATACCTTGGCCCACATATACTTGGTCAATTTGTTTTCCTGATCCCCAATATGGCTTATCCAAATCATTGCCCTTCCTTCAGACCTCTTTCCCCACTGGTGGCTTTGCCTCCAATTTCACTGAGGAAGTCGAGGTGCTCTGGCACGCATCCCCTCAACATCCCATCCTGCTCTGCACCCCTCCACTCCTTCCTTTTGGTCTCAGACTCACGCTGATGCTCTCCTGTGACTCCTGTCTCCACTTGTGCTCTTGATCCACCTCTAAGACCAGATAGCTGTTCTGCTGGATGACACCTCTCTCCATCCTAGACTTTCAGCCTTTCTCCACTGGCTCCTTCCAAAGCAATTTATAAATATACACAAATCTTTCCTTAAATAACACAACATAACAACAACAAAATTCCTAGAAAGAATCACCTAGGTTCATTTTGTCATTCTCATTTATTTTTTCATGCACCAGAATCGGGATTTTGCTCTGATATTTTGACAAAGGAGACCACCACCTTCTTTACTGCCAAATCCAAAAGGCTCTTTTTAGTTCCCATCTGCCTTGCCTTCTCTGTAGCATTTGATACTGCTGAATTCCCCCTCTTAAGGATGGTCCTTATCTTGTTCTTGGCCTCCTCAGTGGGTCACTGATTCTCTGCCCCAGCTTTAAGGCTTAGTGTGATCAAAGGTTCTGCCTTTGTCCCCTTTCTCTGTCCTTCCTTTCTTTCCCCTCCCGTCATTCTCATTCCTCTCACCTCCTCTTCACTTTCATCCTGCATAATCCATTCCCAGGGGTTCCATGTCAGTTTTTATATTGATGACTTACAAACTGAGTCAGTGTCTCATCAATCCTGAGTTTCAAGTTACAATATTTAGGTTCCTGCTGCTGCTCACCACCTGGGGGAAGTTCCACAGGCGCTTCAATCTCAGTGCATGTGAAACTGAGCTCATATCTTCCCCCACCTTCCAGCTCTGCCACCTGGAACCAGCAAGCTGGAAACGTGGAGTCATCCTCAAGAGTTCCCCTTCACAGATCCACTTTTCACAATTAATGGCAAAGTCCTATACTCTTCCATTTGTGACAGTTTCCACATTTCTCACCTTCATGGCTTGGAACCATGTCACATTCTTACTGTCACTAGTTTGGGGCCCTGCAGCGGTCTCCCAACCAGTGCTGCCACCTTCAATCTTGCTGACCTCTTACTGCCACCAGCATCATCTTTCTGAAAAACAAAACTTTTATGTCACCACCCTAGCCCAGACCCTTTCAAGGCTCCCTGTTGCCTACAAGACAAAGTCCAGGCTCCACTGCAGGGTTTATGAAGACCCCCGTGGCCTGCACCTGCTGCCACCCTCTTCTCCTCCCCTCAGCTTCTGCCCTGCTCAACACCTTGCTGTTCTCCAAAGTCTCTGTGCTCTTTTGCCCTTCTGTGCCTTTGCTCGGACCAGTCCCTCCGCTTGGAATACCCTCCTCTCACGCGTCTGCCTGGTGGACACTATTTAACTTTTGAGATTCAGTTCGAGCACAGCTTCCTCTAGAAAGCCTTTTCTGATTGCTTTCACAGAATAAAGTTGACCTCTCCTCCCTCTGTCTGCTCTGCACCTACAATCAGAGCCACGCTGGTGTGTGAGGAGCTCGTGGGCTGCCCTGCCCCCGGCCCACAGCTGTGTATCTCGCGGCCAGGGGCCCTGTCTTTCATCGCTGTGTGCTTGGTGCCTCGCCCGGTGCCAAGAACCAGGCAGGCCTCAGGACATCTCTTCTTTTGTTGCTGAAGGGGAAGGTGGGTATGTGGGAGGATTTTGATTTCCAACTACAGAAGAGTCTTGGACTGAGAATGGGGCTGCAGACTTTATTTACGCAGAAAAAAGTGCCCTCTTCCACATGTCACCAGGTACTTCCGGGGCACCCCTTCCTGCCCTGCGGGGGGTCCCAGGTGGGCAGGGCAGTCAGTGGTGGGCTCTCCTGCAGCCACAGTCGCTATTATTGGGGTGACTCTTCTTCCAGCTGCTTCTGGAGGAAAACACCTGCAAGAGAAGGGTGAGCCAAGCGGCAGGAGCCAGAGCAGGTGGTGGGTGCTTGATGGGGTGCTCAGAGCATTTGCACCCCTTTACTTAGGACCTGGGTCCTGTCCTGGTGGTGCAGTTTGGGCCACTCATACATAGAAAAAAAAATCCTAGTTGGGTTCCCCTTCACTTTGTCTGTGTCTGCAGCAGGTGACCAACCCCACTCTAAAAAGCTGGCCCCCAGCTTGGGACTGGATCCTTAGTGTTTGTTCTTGGCTTGGTGGTGGCAGGATAGGGCCTGGGGCTGAGGCTGAGGATCTCTTTACCTGAGGCTTTGGCATAAACTGTCTGCTGGTCTCTGCTCTGGATGATGCAGGACAGGTATATCTTCTGGTCCTCAGTCTTTTCCACATTGATGTTCAGCACAGCCAGAGAGCCCACTGGGACAGGGCTGGGAGAGGAAGCGGCTTAGCCCCTCACATGAACCCCTGGCCCCCATCCCTCCACCCCTCTGTCCCATCCTTGTCTTCATCCCCCCCTTCCTCAGGGACTCTAGTGGCTCTGGGCTTCGGGCCCACCTGCCAGCTACCAGAGTCAGGCAGCGGAAGTTTTCTGGCCAAGGACCAGAGGACTGTGTGGCAGTGAGCTGGGGAAGGAGAGTGACAGACAGGGCTTCGGTGCCCCAACACAGGATGGCTGCCCCCTCAGTGGTGAAAAGGGCTATGACTTTGGCCAACACCCCAAGGATCCACACTTACTTTTTGTACTTGATACTGAAGTTTAATGTGAACAGCCCCCCTCCGGCCAGGAAAGCAGTTTTAGCAAATGCCTCATCCGTCATGGTTGCCAGGGACCCTCCATGGGCAAACCTGGGGTGGGGGCAGGGAACAAGGCCAGGGCTGGAACCACCCCACCTGTCTTTCCCTAGGAAAGGCAAGGACACAGATCTGGATCCTGCCTGATCAAACCGGTCAAAATCAGCTGATTTTTCTTCCACTGTTGCTACAGCATGTGTTAGCAATCACTGATACAATTATTTTATTTCACCAGGAAAAATTTGTTTTTCTGATAGTTAATGGAAAACCTTTTTTTTGATTCATCACCTAATTGCTGGTAGCAATCACTGTAATTTGGAGAGGTGCATCCTACAAGGAATGGAAAAGCCCCTGAACTTGCTGGCTTTAGTCTCGAAGTCATGGCCTTGGGCCACACTCTCACCTCACCAGTCACTATGTTGAGGCCAGTGTTGAGCCCACATTTTCCAGATGGGTAAAATGTGAAAGTTAACTTAGGACCATAAAGTGCTGACAGGATGGAAGCGTGAGCAGTGCTGCCTGTGGAAAGCCGAGAGCCGGCTTCAGCAGCATACTGCAAACATTTGCTTTCTATAAGGTGTGTAAAATTCTCATTCTTATCTGTGTAAGCTGACCTTCATGCCAAAGCTGCCTTGCTGGTTAAGTTGGGAAAAATAGGAAGGCATCCAACTTTAGAATGCAGATGACATGAAACAGATTCGAGTTTTTGATTTTCAGAAGCATGATCCTGCTTCTCCATGGACCAGGTCAGCTGTGCCTGCTGCACCACCGTGGGTTCCTCAGCTGCTCCTGCCGCCAGGGGGCTTCCCACACCCTTGCTTCCCCCTCCCTTGGGTGGAAAGAGCTGGGAACCATGCAACCTGCACCTACCTGGTTTTACTCCTTGCTCCACCATCACTACCTATTTGATCTTGAGCAAGTTGCTAAACCTTTCTGAGCCCTAGTTTTCCCACTGTGAATTATGAATAAAGATAATTTCTATCTCATCAAATCAAATGAGGTAATGTTTACAAAACTTCAGGTATGCTTCTAGTCACTTCCCTTCCCACATTGCTTGAAAGAGAGGGAGTTGCTGCCAAAGATCCCTAAACCTGCTCGCCCTCATCCACGCTGGCCAGGCAAGGGACCCTCTGGCAAGTGTGTAGTTGCTGCAGTGTAGCTCTTGGTCAGCCACGAACCTACCCCTCCTAGGGGTTGAGTGAGTACTTTTGAGATGATAGAAAATATATAAATTGGTCTCTGCCCCTGATTCCTGGCACAGAGCTCCTGAAACCCTTATAATTTCCTGGGAGTGTCTTTTGTTCTGATGACTCTGGGTGGCTCCTGGTTGAGGGCTGGTCATCAGAAAGGCCAAGCCATGATTAGAAGCTTGGAATTTTCAGTCCTCCCTCTACTCACCCCATTCTCTTGAGAAGGGTGAACAGCTGAAAATGGAGTTAATGATTGATCATACCTATGTGATGAAGCCTCCATAAAAATCCCAGAAGTATTGGGTTCAGAGAGCTTCCAGGTTGGTGAACACATCCACGCTGGGAGGGCGATGCACCCCAACTCCACAAGGATGGAAACTCCCGTACTTGGGACCCTCTCAGACCTCACCCTGTGGGTCTCTTCCATCTGGATGTTCATCCTTTATCCTATCTTTAATGAACCGGTAAATGTAAGTAAGTGTTTCCCTGAGTTCTGTGAGCTGTTCTAATAAATTAATCCAACCAGAGGAGAGGGTTGTGGGAACCACCAGTTGCAGCCGAATCTGACAGAAGTTGTGGGTAACCTGGGACCTACTGCTTGCACTTGGCATCTGAAGAAGGGTCAGGGCAGCCTTGTGGGATTGAGCCCTTAATTTGTGGGATCTGACACTATCTCCAGGTAGATAGTGTTAGAATTGAGTTAAATTTTAGGACACCCAGCTGGTGTAAAGAGAATTGCTTGTTGGGAAAAACCTTCACACATTTGGTGATCAGAAGTGTCAGAAGGGAAGTATTCTATGTGAGAGCAAAGAAGACACAAAGGAAGGAAAGACAGCAGGGAAGAACTGGGTTTTTCTTTGCACAGGAGATAGACCGAACTGGGTTTTTCTAATTCAGCTCTTGTCTCTTCTCTGGACTTTCTCCATCCACTGGTCTCAGTGTTGGATGGTCTTCCTCTACCTTTCCTGCGCCACCTCCTTGAGCCATTAAATAAAAATCCGCCACACTCCACCCCTGTGTGCCCCTGCCTTCTTATGGGTTTTCCTTCTTTGAAAAGGAAAAGAAGGCCTGGGTAGGACTCTGACCTAGTCCCCCAGTATCTGCATGCACCAGTGTGGAAATCAGAGTCCCCATGGAAGATGCCTTTGGGGCGGCCAAGTTGACCAAGGGCTGCAGTCTGAAATCTATGGCCTGCAGAGGCGCTGACATCTAATTAAGCTCTTTGAATTCTGTTTAACTGCAACTGAGTCTCTCTCAGGCTATGGGACCCTAAAGCTGCCCCTTCCCCCTCCTCTCTCCGCTCCCTTGCAGGAACTCTGACACCAACAATAGCCTTCAGTGACTGTCTCAAGCAGGAACATAGATAAACAAGTTTATACTGTACTGCACAGGGAACTATATTCGATATCTTATAGTAGCTTATGGTGAAAAAGAACATGAAAACAAATATATGTATACTCATGTATGACTGAAGCATTGTGCTGGCCACCAGAAATTGACACAACGTTGTACGCTGACTATACTTCAGTGAAAAATAAAAAAAGCAGGAACAGGGATAGAGAAAGCAGACGACCTTGGACTTGGTGACCCAGTGTACTGAGGCAAGAGGTGTAGGGCCAGCCTAATTTCCATTGTGGATGTATTTATGTCCAGTGTGGGTTCTTTCCTGGGGTCTGTTCTCAGTTTGAAGGCAGCAGAATACAGTGGAGGAAGCAATGGACTTGGAGTCCCAGCTCCTGGATTGGAAGCCTGGACCTGACCTTGAATCAAGCCTGTGTTACCTTGGTAAGATGCCGTACCTCTGTGTGCCTCAGAGTGCTCCTAGGTCAAACACGAGGTTTAGATAGATGGTGTCTGATAGCTGTATTGTGCTTTACGGTTTATGAGCGCATACACACAGGCCCATAATATCATATCTCTCAGCCACTCTGGAAGCTAGATACTATTGCCCCAAGTTTTAGATAAGGAGACTGAAGGCCAGAGGTACAAATGGCTTACATGGGGTCTCTAGGCCCACAGTGGCAGAACATCACTGGAACCCTGGCTCCTAATTCCAGATCTTGTCCTCTTCCAAGTCTACCACATCCTTCTCAAAATGGCTTCCAAGACTCCGTCTTACTGGAAAATTCTCAGACCTGAGTAAGGAGGTGCTCCGTATGTGCACAATGGGGACTGGACCAGATGACCTAGGATGTCCTTCCAGACCTGAGACCGTGAGACCAAAGCCCAGTGTCCCCCATTCCCCACCCAGCTCCTTGGAGGGAGGTACAGACTCCAGGGGCTGGTTATGCCTGAGTGACCAGCTAAGCCAAGCACAGGAAGCAATCAGAGATGTCCACCATGGCTCTGCCTGTGGTCTTACCCTGGGATCCCCTCCAGATAGGGGCCTGGTTGGAAAAGACAGACGGACTTCTTCTCCCTCAGATGGAAAAAGATGACATACTCATAGCCTTGTCCTTCCACTTCAATGCACCTGGTGATAATGCACCGGTCATGTTTGTCTGGGGAGAGATGGGCAGTGTCACAGCAGAAGAGAGCGCCTAAGGACGTGGGTTGAGCCTGCCTCAGGTATAGATGAGGAGAGAACCAGAACAAACAGGCTGTGCCCCCAGGGAGCCTTTAAGAGAACAGCAGAGGCACCGCCCTGTCTTCAGGGAACCCTGTCTGAGAGGGGCACAGAACAGTCCTCAGGGAGCCCTGGTTCTGAAGTGGAAGAAAATTTTCCTCAGGGAGCCCTTCATGTGGAAGGAGAAAAACTCAGTAAGTTTCTTTCTTGGGGGCAGAGACAGGATCAGAAGCTGTCAAGACTTTAAGACACCTTAACCGTTGAAAATTAAGATTTAAGACATGTAATTCATATATAATTCAAAACAACAACAGTACTAAACAGGAAAATAAATGCAGAAGAGCCCACTAAGGTTCTTATTTTTCACCCAGGCACCTACAAGAACTATATCCTTTTTGGGTAGAAACCAATTTCTTTAAAAATTTTTCGTACACCTGTTTTTGTATTTTTGTTTGTTTGTTTTGTTGCTGTTCTGTTAACCCACAGCAGTCTGACTACTGTAGCACTCACTTGTCCTCGGGCAGGAGGAACACATGCATGAATGAGAGACAAGCCCACATGCGCACACGCACAGGCACACGCAGAGAGAAGGAAGTAGAAAGCGCGATCACTCTGACCTGGCGGAGAGCCGCCTGGGCCCGGCAGGTCAGGGCCAGTATGCCAGCGCCTGCAGTGGGCGATGGGGGCGTGTCCTGAGGCCTTTTGTGGGTGGGGAGGACTTGGGAGAAGACTTTGACAGGAAGGGAAGAAGATCCTGCGAGAAGGGAGAAGCGCAGGGAGCTGAGCTGGCAGCTCTCCAGTGGGTGCGCCCTGGTCTGGGAGCAGAGGCAGCTGCCAGGTGTGCTCCGTTCAGAGGGGAGGAGGAGAGCCAGGGACCTGACAGGACACTTTCCTCCTCCACCTGCCCGGGCCTGCAGCATGAGGGGTGGAGGTAGCAGAAGGAACTTCTGCCTGAGAATTGGCACCATTTTCTGGTCTTAGTCTTGCTAGCTCTGCACTCACATAAAGATAACAAGTTGCAGAATAGAGAGTAACATTTGTTTTGTTGGAGGTTTTGGAGGACCACCATGACCTGACCCACAGGGACAGCTGCAGGAGCAAAGAGTTCCTACAGCAAGAAATTTGCAACAACCAACCACACCCCCTCCCCTTTTCTTGTATAAAAAGAGCCTGTATTCTGACTTGAGGAGGATGGTTCTCCAAGACATTAGTCTGCCATCCTCTCTGTCTGCCGGCTTTCCAAATAAAGTCGCTATTCCTTGCCCCAACACCTTGTCTCCTGACTTACTGGCCTGTTGTGCGGGGAGCAGAACCAGTTTGGACTTGGTAACACGTGTAGATTTCCTTCTGGAGAGTCCTTGAACACAGAGAAAGGGGCTGGCTGAACTGACCCGGGTGGGCTGGGTTGCATGTGTGCCAATTGGCCCTCGCTGGCCAGGCCTCACCTGAGGTAACCTCTAATCCCAATGGGAGCTTGAACCCCCGGATGTGGTGTCTGTTAGACTTGAAGGAGGGCACTTTGACCCAGTCATCAGTCTTGGTCTTCTCCAGAAATTCGTGGTACAGGCTTAGCATTTCCGGACACCAGCTGGCATTGGGAAGGGCATAATCCTTCAGATCTGCCTTTGGCCGACAGAACCTTGAGACCTGGGCAGGAAAAATCAGGGAGACTAGACAGCTTCCTGGGAGGAGGGCTGCTGCTTGGGCTGTGGGACTTCTAGGTAGTATGCTCCTGGGTTCTTGGGCTCCTTAAACCCTTCTGCCAGTGTAGACTTGAAGGAAATGGCCCCCGGGGACTCCTGTGGGTGACCAGGCAAGGGGATGCTAACATGCAAAGGAAGGGAGGGAAAAAGATTGGGACCGACAAGTAGAGGCATGCTGCTCTGTGGTGGTGTATTATAATTGTCTTGTTTTAAAACTTGTGAGCTGTTCTTTAAGGCTGAGAATAGCTAGTATTAATTAGCCCCACTATACAGATGGGGAAACTGAGGAAATATGGCTAAGGTTGTCAAGCTTGTGAGTGTGAGAGCTGGTGATCAGACTAGAGCTCATTCTGAGACACTATCCACCCTAGGGGGTGCGACCACAGGTGAGGACCATTGTTATCATCCCATCACCTCAGAGGCTACTCCAGCTCTGTCTGCAGCTGCAGACCTGCCCGGGAAAGGGTGGCTCCTTTGAAATATGTTTTAGGCACCCATGGTGATGTGGTAACATCTGTGGGATGAGGCAGAGTCCTCTATGGAGCCAGGTGCTCAGGCACCAATCACAACCACGGGCAGTAAGACAGCTGCTTGCTGGGACCATCCACAGGGTCCTCCCCCTGGGGCCAACACAACTCAGCTGCAATAGTCTGAGTCCCATAGGAGGAAAGTGATTAGTGGCCACACAAGATCCAGATAAGGATGACAGTATCCTGGTGGTCTTAGTCTGGGGCTACTTGGTTTCCGTTGCCAAATCAAATAGCTCCAGACAAACTGCGCACCTGCCCCGGCCACAGCCTGGGAAGAGGAGATTTGGGGTGCTGCTTATACCCTCAGCCCCCAGAAGAAGGGCTCAGCCCATCTCGCTGAGCTAGGAACTCACTCACCAGGAAGTCCGTGGAGGATCCGAACGCTGAGGCAGGGTTGAATCTGGGCAGGAGGAGGGGGGCACGAGGAAGGGCTCTGTGTGACCCAAGTCCTGCTGCCACCTGGAAGCCTCGCCTGATCATGGCTGAGCACTGGAATCAGAGTCCGCAGGGCTGCTGATTGAATCCCGAGGAAGCAGCAAGGTGAGTGAGCGCTTTTTAGTTGCACCTTCGGCTGTCGGTGTAGCCACCTCTCATTCTAGTCTCCTCTCTCTCCCAAGGCTTTCTATTAGCCAATGATTAGGCAAGGCTGGGGCAGTTTTATTCAACACCCACAGATGCTTAGGGCCTCTAGCTGGTGCCAAGCCCCACCCAGTACTTGGAGAGGGGCTTTCAGTGCTTGGGCATGAATGCACAGCAGGACTGGCCTAAGTTCAGAAAGAAATATTTGCCAAAGGAGCAAAACAAGCACATAATTAAACAGTATAGAGTACACATGAAGCTTTGCAGAGCTGTCCTAGATTTTTTTTCTGGGGAAAATCCAATAAAATTCCCAGAAAGGTAAGAGAGATCTGATTCTTGATTGAAGGGTGTTGGTGGAGTGTCTGTGCATGTTGGTGGAGCTTTTGTGGCATGTGCTTTGCAGCAAGACTCTGAAAACTCTGGTGTGATCCCGGGACTCAGAAAACCAACTCACAGTCTTCTGCCATTCCCTTCTTCTATTTCACACACAGGGCAGCACAGGGAAGCCTCCACCTACTGGTCTCTGGTGAGGATGGGGTTGGAGGGGAAGGAAGGCCTTGGGAGGCGAGGCCAGAAAATCATTCAGGGAGGAAGCAGCTTAGCAAGGGCACTCTGTGCTGTGGGAACCCCAGGGAGGGGATGATGCCAGCAGACAGTGCTGGGAGGGAGGTGGGGAGTGGGACAGCGGAGGCTTTGTCTGTGATGAGCCTGGAGAGGAGCCAGTTCTGAGTGTGGGATTGGTGAGTAGCGCTCAGCCGGTGTCTGCAAGGCTGTGGACTTTTGTTTGGTGGCATTGTTTCTTTTCTTTTCTTTTTTTATTGAAGTATAGACAGTTACAATGTGTCAATTTCTAGTATACAGCATAATGCCCTAGTCATACATATACGGATGTACATTTGTTTTCATATTCTTTTTCATTAGAGATTATTACAAGGTGTTGAATATAGTCCCCTGTGCTACGTGGTATTACTTCTTGATTGAATTAAGACTGCCCATTTTCAACTAAAAGTCTCAGTTTTTAATTCATTAGAATAAAGCATGAAAAAAAAAAGATAAAGCATGTTCTAGGCGGGGAGGGTATAGCCCAGTGGTAGGGTGTGTGCTCAGCATGCACGAGGTCCTGGGTTCAATCCCCAGCCCCTCCACTGAAAATAAATAAATAAGTAAATAAATAAGCCTAACTACCTCCCCCACCAAAAAAGAAAAGAAAAAGAACAAAGCATGTTCTAAAGGTCAGAGCTATGCAAAGGTGGAATTAGAGCGAAGATGATATTTTGGCAGTTTCTGAAAGATCAGGCTGGTTTAATTTGGAAATTTAAAGGTTTTGTCTCACCTTCTGTATATGGTGGCCCTAGAAGACTAGAATATAAATATTTTCCTTACCTCCTGTGAAGGTTTGAATGAAACTTCTTCAAGGACTAGGGGGACCCAGTTTTTTGGTTGTTTCAGGCTCTATGTCTAACCATAACTATCCGAATTAATTGTCAACATTTAACAACAGGGAGTTTCATATAAAACAGAAGGCTGAGGATCTCCAGGTAAGTGGGAAGACCTGGCAGCAGGGCATCTTCATTCCTGTGCAGGAGCAGTGGGCTGGAGCTGATGCCCTGTGCCCTCTAGCTTGCCCCAGGCCTCCCCTGGTACTGGGCATTCCTTCCTTCATTCCTTCTACCAGCCTCGATGTGTGATGCTTGGTTTGGGAATGGAATTCGAGGAGAAGACAGGAGAGAAAAGAGGAATCTTACAAAGGGCAGATGAACTGAAGAGCAGGCTGAGGAAAGGGGAGCAGGGAGAAGGCTGGGAGTTGATCTCAGGAAGGTTACCCCAGGAGGAGGCAGGGGCTGTGCTCCCAAGAAGAGTCAGTAGCTGAACCTGGGAAAGGAAATTCTTGTTTCCTCGCCTGAGTTCATTCCCTGGTTCCTGACACAGAGCTCCCAGATCCCTGGGAGTTTCTTGGGTGCTAGGAGTACTTCTGTTCTAATGAGGTGACTCTGGGTGGGCTGTGGACAGCCTCCGGATGGGGGCTAGTCACCAGAAAGACCAAGCCATGATTAGAAGCTTGGAATTCTCAGTCTTGCCTCCCATCCTTCAGGAAGGGGGCAGGGATTGGAGACTGAATTAATGATCCATCATCCTATGTGATGAAACCACCATAAAAATCCCAGAAGTACAAGGTTTGGAGAGCTTCCTGGCTGGCACACCCTAATTCCACGGGGAAAGGAACTCTTGCACTCTGGATCCCCCTAGACCTCGCCCTGTGGATCTCTTCTTTTGGCTGTTCATCTGTATCCTTTATCCTTTCCTTCATTTTATAGTAAGCTGGGAAACGTGAGTGAGAGTGAGTGTTTCTCTGAGTTTGGTGAGCCGTTGTAGCCAACAGTCAATTCCGAGGAGAGGGGTCATGGGAGCCTCTGATTTGCAGGCAAGTCAGATAGAACTTGTGGGTAACTTGGGGCCCGGTTACTGGCAACCACATGTGGTGATTTCCAAGGTTCAGCTGGACACTGTGGTCCAGGGACATACAGAGGAATTGAAGCAATATGGTTGAGATGATCAACCTTTGTTTCCCGGCTGGGAAGGAGGAGGAGATCTGGCGATGCCTGTGATATTTAAGCACAGATATAATGGGATCAAGGGTGTGGCAGATGGAAGGTAACTAGAAAGATATCTGAGGAGAACGTTTATGGTGATAGCAAAACTGTGTGTGTGGGGGTGCTGAATTCTGGCAGCTGGGGGATGGAGGAGGGTGGTTGTGTGAGGCCATCCAGGAGGAGAAAGATTAGGATTGTGGAGAGCACGCTCTTTCCCCCCGTTCTGATTCCTTTCCCACCATTTCACATATCTCGTCACATATCCTACATGTATGCTGGGACTACAGCTATCCAGGGCTGTGGAAAGGTGCTTGACTAGTGCCCGGAACATGGGTTTTGGTCACAGCCCTTCTCCTTCTGTATGAACTCAGCTCAGAGAGAACGAAGCACACTTGGCTCAGAGAAGAAGCTTCTCTTCACACCTGGATTCTCTGGAGAAGCAATTAGGAAACAGAAGGAAGTCAGTCAGTGAAGGTTCTGCATAATTCAGAACTTCTGTTGGATTCTTATCTAGCTTGTTGCCTGCCTGTTGCCTTTCCTGTTTGGGACCCTGTCGGGGAATGTTGAACTTGGGGGCTTCTCTCGCCAAGATATGACATGTCCCCAGAAGCCCATCCTGGGCCTGACCGGGCACACAGGAGAACCAGCTATGGTGAGCTGGTAAGTGCCCAGCAGCTCCTGGCGGGGAGGGGAGGCTCTAATTGGTAGCATTTGCAACTTCTGTGGTGTAAATATTCCCATGGTGGTGGCTGATTTCAAGCTACCAA